ATGCATATTCATAGATGATAAGAATTCAGTCGAAAAGACTGCTAAAATTAGTTGCTTAATTATTATCCAGAATGCTAAAGCGAAGTAGTAACTAAATATAAAAATTAACTCCCATAAAATTTCATGATATTCTTTTTGTGGTGCAAATATCAATGGAATTGGTTCGTAGACTGGTACTTGATACCATGACCCCTGGATTTTATATTGTACTGGTAGAGATGAACTGCATAAAAGTGGGTTATTAGTTCTTATTAAAATATGTGATATTGGAGTCATAAAATAAGTTTGACTCAAATGATTTACTCTTAATTCTGAAGAACAAAATTCACTCTGTTCAACTGATACATCCACAGGGATGCATCGAGATATATAAGCTATCTCCCCTCTTATTGCAGACATATATCCAGGGCTTCTCATCACATTAAAAGCGAATAAATCGGGAGAATTTGGTGTCACCAAAAAAGCATTTGGCAGCCCTCTTTTTTCAAAATCACATTTGTTTAATAAAATTTTCTCGTATAATTGACGTTTTTCCAATGGTAAAGTTGCGTCTGCGTACACATATTTGGAATTTGTGTACGTAAAAAGACTCTTATTTAATGGCAATTTTGAAGTGAAATTCACACGATTTTTAATCTCAAAAATAAATAATTCGGGATGTTCAGTTCGTAAAATAAAATTTCCACATAAATTGCTTTCCCCAATTATCGGTAACCCAAAGGTTACTTTCCTCGTGTTAAATGTATAAATTATTGGATTATCTATGTCACTATCTGTCAATTTTTGTGCGTCACCTTCGAACAAAACACTGTATTGGTTGGATTGGCAACTATAATTGGGTATAGCTTCCCAAAAACTGTTTCCATTTTGTGAATCTAAACACGAGTCGATATTTAAATCACAAGAATCACCAGATTTTAAATGAATTTTATTCTTTTTTGTGTCGATCTTAGCTGTCTGCTCGTAGGTAGATATTTCTATTTCGATGTGAACTGTGACATTATTCCGCATCCCGAAATAATCGAAATAAGTATGACCAACACAATTTCCCATAGTGTCTTTGGCACCGTACTTTTCGAAGGTTTTATGTACTGTTGAATTTATCTCAATTTGTTGAATAATTGGAATATTAATACCGCGATGAACATAACTTTTTGATGAATGTATTTGATTACAAGTAAGATAATCAACTTCGTGTATAAATGCTTCATTTGATAACATGGTGCTGCCATGGGAGCCTACACCACAAGTGTAAATTTGTCTTCGTACATTAATTTTGCACTGAATTACTTTTGTTTCATGAAAGTTATCTAGTCGCAAAAGTTGAATGCGTGAGTGGTCTGACTGAACATATTCAGATGACATATCACATGTTGCAAAATCCAATAATGATACTGCTTTCAATTTTGATGTCGTTGTATTGCAATTGTAAGCAATAAAACCATTCACAAATCCTATCAGCGTGAATGTTAATCCGAAGATCACCGATGATTTTCTGAATGAGAACATCGTTGAATACGCCTGAAATGAATATGAAGCCATCTTTAACATGTTGTTGAGCATTATTATGAGATGGATATTAATTTAATTTTAAAATTTACTTAAAAGTATTAGAATAGATTCATTCAAGGTACATATTTAGTTTTGGAAGGCCTAAAAGGTCTTCCAAATTTCAATCATTTACGTTTTCCGATACTATTCGGTAATTTCACGCTCGACCAGACAGTGCGCTCAAGAGGGGCATTTTTTAATGAATCGCAACTTTTCTAAGTTTCGGCCGGAATTCGTCCGAAACCACGTTTTTTGCTACTTAATTGTTCATAACTTTTGAACCGTTTGAGTTTTCAACTTGAAATTTTATACAGACCTTCGTTATTAGATTACCTTTCGATTGAGATAGCTTTGAACAAAATCGAAGGGGGCATACTTGCCGAAAAATTGAGTTAACTTTGAAGTCAATTTTCTCCATGAAAATTAACTTTTTTTGAAAAACTGATATCACCATTGGAAAGAACAGACGAAAATCTATTGGAATGCATGTGCGCAATATTTTTTCAGACATAATTGCACCAGCCACGACGAGTTAGAAAAGTTGCGATTCATTAAAAAATGCCCCGCTTGAGCGCACTGTCTGGTCGAGCGTGGAATACGTCATATATATCAAATAAAGACGAATGTGCGTAAATTACAATCAGAGTAGTTCAGGCTATCAGTTGGTATGAATTTCCGGAAATGATAATAATTTATTGATTAAGAAAGGTAGAGAATGAATCTAATTCGCAATGCGAACCGGTGTAGCTACAGCGTTATAAGTGAGACAAGACAAAAGCAAAGGAGAGCAAAGCGATCACGAAGAGAAAGAACAAAAATGAATAAAAGCAAGAGTAAGCGCGGACAAGAATGATTTGAAAAAGTTTTTCGGTATTTATACTAATTTGCGGAGCCCGAATTACGGTGGTGCGATATTAGAAAGATGCGCGAATTTGCGAAAATAACTTGTGACGCTAAGCACGCGATGCGATAGCTCGTAATGTGTTTCGTGGCCCTTTTGCCTAAACTACACCTTTTTATTATGATTTCGGCGAATTTATGGGAATCATCATATCGAAAAATCGTGGCTGAGCGCAAGTTGGGTACATCTCTTTCTAGATTGATAGAAATGAATATATTTCGAACTCATCAAGTGAGCCCCTAAATGCACCTAAAAAAAAATGTGACGTAAATTATCGATGTGTTTTTTTTCTTATTTTTTTGACGGTGTGCTAAACATTTTTGAAAGTTTCACAATTTCTCAGAGAAAAACTCAATATTAATTTTAAAAATTGGATATCTCAAAATTTTCATTTTTAAAATTTATCAAAGTGATCTCAAATGAAAGCTGAGGTTTTCTTTCAACGATTCAAATTATCATAGATTAAATTTCCCAATTACACATTGAAATGCATCGACGCACATCTAAAACATGAGATTATTTGACGCCCGCTCTGAAAGTTTCTCGCCGAGTTCGTGAAACAAAACGGAGATGCTGCAGTGTACTTCTTGGCGCGCCACCGAGATAGCCGCTGCATACATAAGAACGAAGAGGGGAGAAGACGCGTCAATGCGCACGGTGTTACTTTACAGCACTCGCACGAGGAACAGCTGTTTTCAATACTTACTCTTAAACGTCCCACGTGTTTAGATGCTTTATACTAAATTACAATAAGCAGTTACAAAAATTTCTTCGTGAAAACTCGTACACGGGTAAAAAAAAACTCAGCTTTCAATTGAGATTTTTTTTAAATATTAAAAATGCCGTTTTTGAAATACTCAACTTTTAATATTATGTTTTGCTTTTTTTTTAGTAAATTGAAAATGTTTAAATAATCTGAGCACACAAATAGAAGTCTAAGGAAAAAACACAACCTATCTTCACATTTTTTCTGCAATTTGGGACTTTTGTGGCGAATTAGAAGTTAAATGATTTTGTTAAATAATGTTTCTTTAGAAGAATTGACGTGAAATATCACTTTTTACGTATGTTGAAAGTTCCTATTGCTAGCATAGAGTTTAAACAAAAGATACGTAGGTTTTCAAAATGAATATTATTCGTAATATTACTTACCAATGAAAAATATCTGAAGCAATAATGGCCTTTGAACTGACTTCTTTAAAAATTCATCACTGTTAATTTTTTTAATACTCGAATATCACTACAGTGCACTATTTGAAAATGCTCCAAAGAAAATTATGAAACTGAACTATAGAGCTGTACTTTCAAATTCATTACGATGTCAACAAGTCAGCAGTTAAAACCAAAATGAACAGCGTATCGAAGTCAGTTTGAATCATACAAACAACCTAAGAATCATTCGAAGTAGTGTTTCATGTGCGTAAGTAATGAAAAGTATGGAGTAGATCAAATTTCAATTTCTCAAAAATTATCTTTAACCGGTCATCGTGGGTCACGTTGTGTACACAGTGCTTTACGATTTCTCTTAATTGAGTGTATCCAATAGATATTTTCACGTTTTGACGCCGCAGTAATAAACAGAACAGAGAACCAAAAATTGTTTTACCAAACTTTTCAAACAATTTATTTATTAATTTTTTTAAATTTATTGTCTTTGACTAGTCACATTTTTTGGTGGTTAGACAATTTTCATCAAAACAGGTCACATAATTGCAATTTTTTACCAACAATAATTATGAATTCTTTTTCACAATAATTAAACTATTCAAAATTTAGCGGTTAAAGGATGTTTTAAGTAAAAAATGTCTAACAAGATACTTTAATAAGATTAAAATTTCCCGTTTTTCATTAAATTTTACTTTGCCTAAGTTAACAATTTTCGATTTTGATTAAACGTAAAAATGTTAAATATTCTGAAAAAAATTTCAAGAAATATTTGTTGTTGAGAATTCTGTAATATACTTTCAATTAAAGCACTGTTTTAGGAAACACTAATTTCCAAAATTAAAAAAAAAATTCGTTCGAACAATTTCTGTTACGATTTTAGGTTTGCCAACCATTCGTTTTCAGCAAGAGACTTTATATGAGAGTTTAAAGAAAAATCGACCAAAAAGATTGTCTAGTGGCAGCAAAGCCCAGACTAAATCAAAATACCATATGACGCGCGTGTCTGATCAAAGCTTTCGACTTTAAAAGACGAAGCAAGACACTGAGTTAAGAATCGATCAGATTTTCATTATAAAAAAATCAAAACAGAGGCATAATTATGTTAATTTTCAGTCCTTTTTTAGGGTTTTTTATAATTTAATTCTTAATGAAATTTTTGGCCAGGATAGCTACCCGATAAATATTACTCTTTCATGTGCCAGCGTTGTATTAAAATTTTTCTAACATCTCTATTTCGGTAACAATCAAAATGGATGGATGGATATATGAAAGTAATTATGTAAAAACTTTAGTTTGATAATCATTTTTTTTTTTTTCAAAAATATGTCTAAGATATAAAAATGAGAATGATAATATTTATTTACAATAATATGAACAGTTTGCGAGGTATACTAAATTCGATCAACAAAAAGTACGCATACAATAGTTGCATTACCAAATACTGTGGAATGAAAAAATAATTTAACTTGGAAAATCTCTCACGCTCACTTTGTTTTGTGCAAAATATTTTGTATTTCGTTGAGCGACTTTCCCTTGGTCTCGGGCAGCAGGAGGGTAAACGGAATGCAGAGGCTCGAGAACAAGGCGAGCATGCCGAAGACCCACTTGTCGCCGAAGTCATTGGAGATCGGCTGATACGACTTGGCGATGGCAAAGCCACTGAGGGACGCTGTGAGCGCTGCGACGCAGCCGGCCGTGCCCTTGATCCTGTCGCTGCAGATCTCGCTGAGCACGGTGCTCGGCACTTGCGCCAGGCCGATCGCGTAGAACACCAGATAGACGACTATGCAGCTCAGCGGCAGCCAGTCGATCGAGCCGCGGTCGCCGCCGCCGCTGACTTCGCTCACGTGAAAGTAGGCCGCGAGACCGGCATTGGCCAAGGCGCAGCCGCAGCCCGACACTATCAGCAGCAGCCGCCTGCCTAGCTTGTCGACCAGATTCACCGTGGACAGGGCCACAAGGGTCGAAATTATATTGGCGTAGATGACCAGCTGCTGCGTCTCCACATTGATGGACCGGGTCTTCGTCAAGATCACCTCCATGTACGACTGTATGACCATCGTGCCGCTGAGATTCGGCAGGGCAAACAGCGCGATGATGTAAGCGAAGGATTTCAGCGAGATGGGCTGGATCATCTCACCCCACGCGTTCACCTCGGTCTTCTTAGATTCCAAAAAGTCGCGTATCTCGCTTATCTTTTTCTTCACTTCGATATCCGGATAATACAAGATCACTGACTTTTCGGCCTCTAGCTCGCGGCCATTTCTCATCAGATAATACGGTGTATCTTTCAGTAAAACAAACAGTATGATCGATATCACGCACATTGCCAGGTAAATCGATGCCGATATTCTCATGGGCAGGTATGACTCCATGACGGTACCGATGAGCACTCCCAAGGGATTGCCCGCGGCGGCCATCGACACCACAGTGCCACGAATTTCTGGGACACATACCTCGCCGAGGTACAGCGAAAACGAGCCGTAGGTCAGTCCACAGAACAAGCCGCCGATGGTGCGCGAGGCGATTATCCAAGAGGCCGAATTGGCCGAGACTAGGCAGACTCGATCCACGGATACGATTAGGAACGCAAGCAGTATCGTCTTTCGGCTGCCGAAAATCTCGACGAGGCAGGTGCAGGCGAAGGCACCGACGACGCCTGCGAGACCGGTTACCGATACTATCCACGATAATTCATCGTCCGTGGCACTTAGCGTGTAGTTACCGGACTCCAGGCGAGGTATGTTGGGCGATGGCCAACCGATCGATATACCGATTTGAGCCAGTAACGAAAAAACTAGGAAGAATAATTTTTTCATAATTTTTGTTTCTCATTGAATCTATCATAAAATGAATGAATGAAAAGCAAACCTCCAAGCGCCAATGTCCATTCGATCCAATGCTTGGGTAGCGTCCGATGAGAAACCACTTCTTCTTTAGTCAGTGACATGTCGGAAGCTATATATTTCACGCGCTACGTTGAACTCGCTGCCAATAACTGAACAGCCGATCGGGTCGAAAACGCGAATGAAGAATTTTATTACCCGTCAAAATTAATCTACATCGAAAGCTTTTATCAAGGCGGTATTTTCATTAATATATTTCCGATTGGCTCGATTACCATCTGACAGATTGAAATCTATAGTTCGGATTACTCCCTTAACTTTAATATTTTCACTTTCAATCAAAAATTTTGCATAGAAAATGAGATTTTAGATTAGTATTAACGCAAAATTTAGAAATCAGATCCGTTCATTTCAACAGTGTTACTACTAATATTATTTTGTGCGGTCGCTCGCGCTCATTACTTCACTGGTTTTTGCGTTTCCCATTACAATTAAAGTTTATAATAATTTTGAAGTACCATTTGATTAGATAAGGACGTATAACTTTTCAAGTTCAAGCCGCTTATCATTTTAACACAAGTGAGAAACGCGCGAATAGATTGTCTTTCATTTTTTCCAAAAATAGTAAGTGTAATCAGTATTAAAATTAAATTTATTCAAAACTATTAAAAAGTTGTATAAATTACATTGCATACTTAAACTATATTTGGGAAGGTCTATTGCACGCATATTCACAATCATGAAAAACATTATAAAAAACTTTTTCAAAAAAACCCTTTTTACAAAAATAGTCGCTAACTTAAACTTAGAATCGAATTTCATTTTTAAGGCACATTCAAGGATATAAAAATATTTGGCAAATGAAAAATTCAATTTGTTAATCGAATCATTTAAAATTTTAGCGAGGCACTTGAGGACGGGTCAAATTAAAAAAGGGCAATCCTCAGTTTCGTTAAAAATTTTCGAAGATTTGAAAAAGTCACCAATCATGTCGTTTGAATAAAAAATATGTTACTCATGACAAAACGTCATTTTGACATGATGACATGATTTGAACAATTTCAATATCTCAAGAGCATACCATTACAGGCGTACATAAACATTAAAAATAACATGATTGACATTTTTATGACGTTCAGCATCAACAAAGAATAGAAAATTATTGATTCCTCCGGAGATCAGATTGAATCTGTAGAAACGATTTGCCGGTCGTGTCTGGCAGCAGAAACAGAGCAACAGGTGTCGCCAGAAACGAGAGGAATCCGTACCACCAGAACGCGTACATCATGCCGAACGTATTGATGATGTTCTGGTAGGTCTTGGACGTGACGAAAGCGAACAGCGACGTCGAGAGGCTCGCTATGCACGAGGCGACGCTCTTGACGTTGCTGGGGAACAGCTCGCTCAGTACCGCGGCTGGCACCGGGGTGTAGCCGACGTTGTAGCTCATCACGTAGAGCGGGATACATATGATCGGTAGCCACTGCAGATAGGCGGCGTTGACTTTTTGATCGACCAGGTAGAACTGCACGCCGAGACCGATCATGGCTACGGTTGTGCCGATGCTCGAGGCCACGTACAGGGCCCTGCGACCGAATCGATCGATCAGTCGGACGATCAGAGCCGAGAACACGATCGCCAGGACGTTTACGACGATCACCGAGTCGCTGGGATCGAGCAGGGTCGACTTTGAGTCCTCGAAGATGGTTGCCATATAGTAGGAAACTACGAGGGCTCCGCTGGCGTGTGGTATGCCGTACAGCAGCACGATCAGCAGCATCGATTTTCTCTCGGTCGGCTTCCACAGATCCGCAAGCTTTTCCCTGAATACCTTGCTTGTGCTAGCCTGGACGTATTCCTGCACCTCGGCCAGCTTTTCCTCGACCTGCAGTTGCGGCAGGTACGCGGCGATCGACGCCCGGGCACGATCGATCTTGCCGACCTTGACGTCGTGATAGGGAGTACTTCGCAGCCAGATGAACAGGCCCACGGTCAGGGCGCAGGGCACCAGATAGATCGGCGTGGTGATCTGCGTGGACATATAGGTCTCGAGGGTGATGCCGAAAAATATGCCGAACGAGAAGCCCGCAGCCGCTATGGACACGAGGGTGCCGCGGATTTTCGGCATCGACACCTCGCCGAGGTACAGCGAGTGACAACAGAAGGCCATGGAGTTGGTGACGCCGCCCAATATGCGAAACAGATAGATCGACTCGACGGACGAGGCGAACACCCACGTGAACCATTTGACGCACATGAGGCTGAGCGTGACGAGGATCGTGTTCTTGCTGCCGAGGTAGGCGACGCAGGTGGCGCCGATCGGCGCACCGGCCATGCCACCGAGCCCGGTGAGCGACGCCACCCACGATATCTGCTCGAGTGTTATGGGGAACGTGTAATGCAGAGGCGTGGTGGTCTCATTGTTGTGTCGCATGCGTTGAATGTTGGGCGATCCCCAGCCGATCTGTATGCCGACCTGGATCATCAACGATAGCGCTGCAATCGTTAAAATTATTTTAGCTTTGCTCGGAGTTTATTCGGCGGAGAGTCAATTTTTTTTCGAATACGTACTTCCTATCGTTGCGATCCATTGGATGTAATTTTTCGAGTTGTCACGCCTTTGATTTTCGGGAATCGGAGCGCTATCAATTTCTTCGCTGTGATCCATGGCACTTCAAAAACAAGCGAAAAAGTGCTGATTAAGCTTGTAATTTGTTCACGTGAGCGTTTCGAAAGAGCTATAAAGATTAGATGGATTTGAAAAATAAGAAAAATTCATCGTGAGTTTTATAAAAAAAATCTTATGCTTCGTAATATTATTAGTAATCGCAATAATAAAGATGTGTATCAGCGACTAATTCGTTTAGTTATCGAACGTGTTATAATGCGAGCTTATGTGACAAATTTATCATTAAAATTCAATGAGTTACAACTTTATAATAGAAAGACATTAATGCGATAACTTCGCTTGGCAAGCCTCTATTTTGGTACTTAGATCGGTAAGCTTCCTTCGATACCAACGTAGCGTTACATCATTATTATCGCGACAGCAAAAAATTTTTCACTGCTTATCGAATTCTAACTAAACTTTTATTTTTGTTGACTCGAGTCATTCGAGCTCCTTGCGCACACATCGACCAGATAAACTGCAAAAGTAGCGCGAGTAATAATGTAATGTATTAGCGTGTATCGTATTGCAGTTTAGTGGAAGAATTTCATTCGCGAAAAATAATTTTTTTTTCAATTATTATTCATGAATTTTAGACAAAAACAATTTTATCAGATACGAGGACTTTGACCGTTGTTTGCATTAAGAAATTTTCAAAGAATTATTCAAGATTGCTTCATAACGCGTAAATCCTATCGGCCGCCGGCCATATATCACGACAGTCCACGAAAATTATCATTTGAAATCAAAATTTAATCATAATATTGATATAAAATTTGAACGCCCAATCAATTTCCGAGAATTTTGAAATATAAAAAATAATTTCTAAATCAAATTTCTTCTGTTCGTGTAAATAATTTTTTTTTTCATAGTTAGAATATTGTTTATCAAAAATTAACATGTTTACATGAATGAAGCGATTCAATTTCATGAGATCATTCGACTTTACAATCAAAAAAATACTCAAATTTAAAATTAAAAAAAAAAGATAAAATTTTTTACAATTATAAATAACAATAAAAATAAAAAATGTTAAATGATAATTACCTTCAAATCTTTCGCAAAAAAAAACGTGATAAAATTTCTCTTCGGTCACTTATTCATACTTTACATATCGATTTTGAAGGTTATATTACTTAATAAAAGCGACGAATCTCGACAATGTTAAAACACATCGGTCGACCTCATCGCGCTCGGCTCTATGTCAATGTAGTTCAAATTCCAAAAACACACGGTCAAAAATCGCGTGGATCCACTTGACTAGACACCAACGTCGAATCACGCGAGTCTATGTGGGTACACATAATCTTTTAGTGTTAAAACACACGCTAAACAGTCACGCACACGGAAAGCGCGCAGACGATATAGTTATAGTGTCTGCGCAGTGTTACAATTTCTACAATTGCTATGACTCGGGCACGAGACAAGATAAGCCATGCAAGAGGCGCGTAAATTCGAATTTTGATGGGACTCGAGCCGCGTGTTGATGAGCTACGCGTCAAAACATTCGAGGGCGGCGGAAATAGCAAAGTTGAACAGTGATGATAAAAATAGAATGTTTCACGACACTAGCAATTGTTTCGATAAACTCGTGAAACAAAAGAACAACAAACTAAAAACGATTGCAATACGGTTCAACAAGTCTTTACGAACTATACGTTAATGAATTCAAGTTCACTCTGCCGAGACTCCGACAAAAGAGTCTTTTAAGCCGAAAAAAATCATTAATCAATTATATTTCCAAAAAATATTAAAAATATTAAGATTATCTTTAAAAAATTGAAGAAACTGCAATGATAAACACGTACAGTGTATCGTCATTGATAACATTTTTTTTCTCGACCTCATGACTTGTGTGACGTTACACGCAGATATTCATAGATTACATGCACACGCGCTGCAGCGATCGCACATCATACATTTATTGTGTGTATGTGTATGTGCGAGCCGTCTGTGTATACACATTGGAGCGCGCAAGGAGATGTTATATAGATCCCTCTGCTCGGAGTCGGAGCAGCGGCTGGCGCTCACGCACATGCATGCACAGACACGCACACACACCAGTGCACAATAGCTTTTGGTGTCACGACCTACTTATTCACCAAGAGACGCGCCCTATAGCCGCGATCAAGTACACTTACCGACCGTGACACGTATGTGTGACTGTAGCATTGTAGTGTGTATATAAGCGCGAGATATGTATACACATGTGCGTTTTCATATAACAGACAGCATGAGCGTCGGTTACTCGTTGCAAGAGTAGATATATAATATCGCGAGGATTGTGCGTAGTATATAGATTGTATGAATGCGTTTATGGACTACTATGATGATGAGCCATGGCTATTTTTGCGCTAATAATGGAAGAGGAGGCATCATGTTGTGATAATTATTCTTCTACGAGCAATTGAAAATGAAGTACGAACGAACGATATGGGACACAGTAATTGAATGGTATAAGCGTGCAAACCTTGGAGCAATTATGATATTCTTTCTGTAATGAATGGAAAGGCCAATACCGACTTTTTACGTTTCAATAAATTGAATCATTTGTCGTGTGATGCTTTACATCTTGTAATATAAATAATAAATGTAATGTCATGTGTAATATGTCTAATAAAAATATAAATAGCTCCTGTGTACGATTGAAAAGTATACAGCGAGACACGTTGGAATTTCAAAGTTTACATGGAGAAACCTTACACTTATAACAGTTTGAAGATCGAGTTATGGATTCCTGGACTGCGTGGCGACCGTGAAAAAGAAAGGGCACGCAACCTTGCAAACTTGCAAAATTCAAGTTAAATTTTGCGCACATGTATCGGTAGTATTGGCGCTTCTATACGCGAACTCGTTGTCATTGAAATAATTAATTTAAAACACAGGCTCGCACAAAACTACCTGTGACTAATATCAAGGATACTTTTTGAAAAAAAAAAAAAATGAAAAGTCAAACCCGATTTCAAAATCAACGGATTGAAGAGAATGAATTTTCAATGCTTCCAATTAATCTACGTAATGGTTGTACATAAGCAATCGAGTATTGAAAAATTGTCAAAGGACACTACATTGACTCTTCAATTACAAATGAATTAATGATTGTAAAGTGAACAGCCTTCCGAGCGTCATAAATTGATCTTCTACAATTAACAGATTATAAGAATAGCCGTGTTTTTTGCCACAATTGTTATGCACTTGCGATTTTTAACTTTTAATTTGGCCTGAAAAGATCTCGGGAAAAGTAAGAGATTGATTTGAAACGATTGTTATGAAAAAAATTATTCTCAAAGTTTTGTGGATTTAATTTGAAGTAAACTAATTTTGTCTTATCTCGTCAAGTTGAAAAAGTTGAAAACTCGTAAGGAAAATAGTTGAAAGAAAATTGCTGCCCTCGAACTCACCCTTGACTCAATTTTCTCGTTTGTTTTCGTTTTAATGCACGGGTTGATCATTTGCGGCGTTTTAAGCTGCATAAAGGAATCCGTGTTTCAATTATATTAAATTACACATTTTTCACTGATTCGCATATGAATGAAATTCAAGATAACATTTAGTATCATCGAGTATTTTATAGATTATTAACAAAGCCAAATAAACTGATTCGTGCAGTAAAATGAATTGGAAAAATTCGAAATAATCTTTTCAGCGAATTACAGTATAATCGCAGAGGTGCCGTAATCAAGATATAAAGGAAAGCCATCGCGACCGATTTAACGATTAACGTCATAAGCGCTGGCATATGTACATGAAATTTCGCGAATATCATTTTCCAAAGATTTCGTTTGTCGTGCGTACATGCTGGATTTCCACTTATGAAAACGAGGAAGTTAATAATCGTCCTCGGCGGGGTAGGCAACCGTGTATGATGGATCGATCGATCGGTTACGCAAAGATGAGAAACGATCGTGCGTGGGCGTATGTTGCTTGGTGGGCTACCCATCGTAGAATCGTTTATGCATTAGAGTGCCTTTCTATTGTGCAGTTGAAAAGAAAAAGATAGCGCATAATGCAACGTACACATACGTATGGCATTTCCGAGGATACCCATAGGCGTATAATAAATGCATACGCTTCCGTGATTTTGCCTTCATTCGTTCGCTGTCGTTTGAAAAATAAAAGTGAACGCGAGTATGTGGTGAATTTAAAAATTAGTTCGTCAGCATAATACGTCAAAAGATAAATGCAAAAAGTGAATTTGTGCTGAATATGGTTTAAGATTCGTGGGAGATTTCGAAGCTATTAAAAATGCCAATCAATATTAGTGAATGGATACGAAAGAAAATGATGGACTTTGTTTGGAATATGATAAAAAAAGTCTTACATCTAGAATCACGATAAAAGTGCAAGTGCGTAGTTCGATCATCGGCGGCTGCAGCTACATCTGAGAAGGTAAAAATTAATTACGTCATTATAAGTGTAATTAAAACGAGTGCGGTTATGCAAATTGTGATTGCACTGAATACTGTACAAAAAATGGTACGGAATTAAACATTACTTCCATTCTATATTATTAAAGTGCACGTCGTTGCTGACATTTTTGTATTTTGCGTAACATACATTGTTACATCAATACTTAATTGTTATTACATTGTTTCCAGTACACAAACAATGAAGATACCATTGATGTGCTTCGTACTGATAGGAGTTGTTTTTTCCGTACCGGTGAAGAAACAGCTATCGACGGAAGAAAAAATTGCTGGTCTCTTAGAACTTCCTTCGCTTTTAAACTTTAAAATCAGTAAAGTAGAATTAATTACGTTTATTTCTATCATGATTAAATTATTAGTTTACGAAATGAATTTAACCATTAAAAATGCCAACCACGATAATACTAATTCTCAAGATATAGAGAAACTACAGAATGCGATTGATATTCTCAATCACGCTATGAAAGAACTAAAAAGAGAAAAGAATCGATTTAAAAATACAATTATGCATAAAAAAAGGGACACGTCCACGCAAAATTTTCAAAAAAATATCTTAACGACGCCAAGTTATAGACATTCACCTTATAACAAAAACAAACTAGAACCTATAGCGATTTTGAATGAAAGCGGTGAATTGGATCACAATCTCGACCAATTGTATACAGATGTGGTAAATTGGTTGAAAAATGATCCAAAACTTTACGCAGTAGCAAGTGCGAAAAATCAAAATCATTCCGGTGAAGTTACCATTCCAATAGAAGCTACAGTTGTATTTAAGCAAGAGGATACTTTATCGCGCCAGAAAAGATCGAAAAATCAACAGCAAAAATACCAGCAACGCGAAGGATCAAATATTATTAGAAAAAGAAAGGAAGGTAACGGTTCATCTTAATATTGTTATTGTCTAGTTGATTTATCATACCATTTTGACTCGTAGATTTCGACTTGGCAACTATGAGCGATGAAGAGGTAACAACGCGGCGACCGGCAAAAATGAAAGTTTCCAAGACGAAGAATAAGAAAAGTGAAAAGTCTCCACCTTCGCTCATAAATACTCTTGTTAAAACGTTTCTTTTACCCGATAAAAATAACGTGATGCCAGATATTGCAAATATAATTACACAAGTTGGTAAAAAGTATTTGAAATCGAATTTTACACAGGTGATTCAAAACTTTAATTTATTTAGACTTAGAAAATATAATTAAAAATTATCCATTTAAAAATTGTAATTTGGCCAAATTTAGTTAACTGTTGATGAGAATGTAGGTAAAGATATATCAGAGCCCGTTTTAAATGAAGAAGAGAATGAAGAAGACGAAGACATTTCTAATAAGCCTAAGCCCAATAAAAAAAGAAAGAAAAACGAAAAACCTCAAAAGCAGTCAGACTTTGATGACATTTTCGACGACGATGGTTTTGGCTTTGATCAAGATTATGTAATATAATTTAATAAAAACATGTCTAAAAAGCAACGTAATATTGATTAAAGTCGATTTTTATTATAGGATGACAGAAACCAGGGTTCATTAGGTTCATTAGCAGATTTGATACCATTGCTTATTCCAATTCTTGAGGATATCAGTGATGTGAGTACTCGTAAAATTTGATTAAACATATATTTTTAACTTTTTTTCAATTTCAGCCCGAGTCAGACACCGATTTGGGGGAAATTTTATCAGCAGCTGTTCCTTTAATTCAAGGACTTTTGGAAGTAATCTTATACATTAAATCTAATACTCTAGAAAATAACATATGGTCTAATTTGAATATAGGAAAAATTTTAATGTATTTTGTAGCCAGACCCAGAGAGTGGAGTTGCGGGACCAGATATCGTTGGAATAGCGTTACCTCTTTTACAAACTTTATTACTAGTATGTATTTATTTTATACTCTTGGTTGAATTGCTTAACGTTAATAATGGCCTCATGATTAAAAAATCACCATTTAAAATATTCTTAACATACATTAATATTAATTGGCTTTTTGCGATTTATTGGTACAGTTAAGTTAAAAATATTGATGTAATTTAAAATAATTTAAAAATAACAATGCGACTGTTTAAAAAAATTTAGACCAATTTTCAACTACTTCAGATACGGAAATAATACTTTAAGCTTCTAGCACTAAATGGCGAGACTCTTTACTTCAGTAAACCTGCAAGTGGTAAAGTTAAAATAATTGTATATAAGTCAAATCGTGGTTTAGAGAAATGAAATAAGATTTAATTGTTGAGGCCTTTTCTTTTCATTGGTCGAAACTAGCGATAAAATGTTGAACAATTCTACCAAAGACGAAATATGAATTTATTTTTACACAGAAACACGTCAAAATCATATAAAAATTCAAATTTAGGGTAAAGACGGAATGGGCAGTGATAGTGGGGCTTTTTTAGGACCTTTAGTTCAGATTATAGGACCTATAATTGGACCTGTTCTGGGGCCTCTTGTTGGACCTTTATCGTCGGCTTACAGTGGAGTATGTAAAACAATTCATTGAAAAATTTACAAATGAAATATTTAAAAAAATGTATTCACTAGGATGGACCAAGGGCTTTTCCACTGGGGAAAATTCTCGCCTCTTTTTTAGGATATTTTAGCGAGGTAATAACGGGCTAAATCCTGGAGCGCACGTTAATTTCGTTACTCAAAAATTCATTCTTAAAATATTTTTCACAGGAAAGAGATGGAATGTCGATTATAGCATCGCTAACATCGTCCACCGTTGCGATACTCAGTAAAGTACGTATTATACATTTATCGATTCGCGTCTGTCCTTAAACTACTCATGCTTTCTATCTTTCGAAAACCGATTCAAGGAGCTCAGTGGACCGGACTCGGAAATAGACGTCGGCAAATTGGTGAGTCAGGTGATCACTGGCGCCTCGAGTGGATTCAGCGCTGGGGCCAGTGGCGAATCTAGCGCCGGCTTGAGCAACGGCCCCGGAGGTGGATATCCCCCGGCTGCTTACGGGCCACCGTCGACTGCCCAAATCGCCCTGATCGAGCCGCCGAAAAAGAATCAACCCGCACCCGCGACGTTCAACAATTCCAATAAAAAACGCACGAGTAAAAGAAAGTCGATCAATGCGTTCCGACCGCAATCACCGAGGCCGAAGCCGACTCCACGGCCGAGCCTCGACGACTATGATTCGGCCGAGGCGCAAAACTACGGAGCTTACGGAGTAATTATATTGCAGACACTATTGCATTATTTATAATTATGTATGCGCATCTATGCCGAATGAAATTTACTTTTTTTTAAATTTTTGTAATGAAGCCTCCAGCGGGTGGAGGATCGGGCGAGGGATTTACCAAGGCATTTCAAAAGATCATAGCCAGCGGAGTGAATTTGCTCTCGGCCTTCTTGGGTCTTTCGTCGACGTCGTCCGGTACATCGGCCGATACAACGGGCTCGTACGGTCAGGCCATGTACGGTCCACCGGCACCTTACCAAGGATAAATTGAATATATTTCACGAATTTTAGATAAATAAGATATTTCATAAATAATTTCATTTCGCATGTACATCCATTTGAAAATTCTTTATCGTACTTATAGTATTTAATGCATTTTTATACTTTGAATGCTTGATGTAAAGATTCACGTTATAATAAAAAAAAAAACACAGTCTATACACGTCCACACAGCGACAAATTGGAATTCCAGAATAAAAGAATCTTTCTTCAAATTTCCGTGTATCGGAAATATCGAAGATTTTATCCTTGAAGTTATTCGCGTAATTGATTACATAAAAAAAAATTAATTCACAGCAGCAGCATCGATACTCATCTCATGAATTACATTATAATGAAGCAGCAAATCAAAGGACATCGCTTCCAGTTATATCAAAGTCGCACGCGCAGGAATATTAACGCGATGAATATTGGCTTATTAAAGGGGAGAAGCGATCAGTCTCCGGTCGACCTCGGGGGCGCTACTACTACTACCACTACCGCAGAAATTAGGCAGATGTTTCGGTGGCGGATCAGGATCGTTGGTGCGAGGCTACCGTGGTGCTCGGTCCTTACGAAATATACATAGTCTCTGACGCGTTAAAACATCAACGCATTCATTCATTGTTAGTCATTGGCCACATCAATATAACATAAATACATTCGGGCCTTCTAGACAAAGAGAATAGCCGAAAAAATGTTTTCTCTCTCTCGCTCTTCATTTTGCGTGCCGCGCGACCTTCGAAGTTCTCGGCATCGGGAATGAGTCAAATTTTGTGTTTTCAATGAATGCTTTTATTGGCTGTATTAGCATACGCCGAGAACGAATTAGACGCTCAAGCGTGTGTGTGCAATTTTTTTTTCGTCAGCGACATTTAGGTCAAAGTTTGGTTTTTAAGCAACGACGTTTTTTTCGTCGTCGTCGTCGTCTCAGTCGTCTTGGTCGTTTCGAGCCAAGGCCTTATGCTGATTGCTTAGAACCTCTGCAGCAGCAGCAGCAGCTGCTGCTCGTTATTGTTTATACAATATTACGCTTACGTATGTGAATAATGACGCGCTGAAGTTCATCCAATACATCCAAGACACAGCTCGTAAATTACGAGATGTTCAACCTTGTCGAAATTATCGAGTTTCTTATCGTCGCAGCAGCCATAACAACAACAACGACGATGAAAACGACTATGACGATAACGACAACAGTAACAACACAAGTGCTTCGATCGAATTGCGACCGATATCCAAAGAGAAAACCCCGATCGTTGTCGCGTTCGTTTGTATATGATACGTGTGGAGAGCCTTGTACCCGCGGGGCCTCTCACTCTCCTATCTTTATTAGCGAACGTATGCATATAATGTGCAAGTACACGAGCATATCTGCCAAGAATCAGCCGAGCGTCGAGGTGGCCTCGAACAAAAGTGAAAGCTCGCGACGACGAGGATCGAAGCTCTTCCCGCGGCTGGCCGGTCGTATGCATCGGCTGTATATATATCAACTCTTTCACCGCACCGTCGTCGTCGACACCGCCACCACTCGCCAATATATAGAAAGCGAAAGCGACCCGGTAATCCGATTTTCGCCTACGCTGCGCGAGCGCGAAAGTAAGTTGGGTATGTAGCATGTCTGCGCAGCGCACCGCGAAGAGGAGCAGCGCCGGAGCTCTGCCAGCGAGGAGAAATAGTGAAAGCTGCTGCGGTGCAGCTGCCTGTTTCCGGGATACTGCAGCAGCAGCACCGATCGAATGCGCGTATACATGTGTACACACAAATGCAACAGTGAAATCTCTTGCATGTATGCGGGTAATTATACGTCTGGATTTCTATACCAAATATTGCCGATGATCGTTGATTTGGTAAAAAGTGACGAAACTAGCTGTATATAGTACAGAATCAACGGATAAACGTGATTCGGGTGGCAGGTGAGCGCGGTCCCCGATACGTCGCGTATATTATTAATTATTGCAATCGGTATCAGGATACGTGCGGGGCTCGTCGAGCAAACACACACATTCACACGAACAAGCAAACGTGCAAATTATTCCGGCTCGTGTTGATCTTTTTTTACCATAAGTTCTTACTTTTTTTTCTCACTAACCATGGGTGACAATTTACAAAAATAACTCGAGCGCAACTGCATTCTTCACAAAATTGAAAGGTTCAGTTGTAATTCAATGATAACCTTTTGTAGTTTTTTTTATTTATGACGGCGAATTCGGCTGAAATTAAAAGTACGCGATACCTCATCGTGGATGTAAAACTACAAAATAAGGTGTAAATATAGAAGAGATAATCCACTAGTTTGAGTATAATTACAAATCCTCGAGTATCTGAATTTAAAAAAAACGCCAACAACCGCGCATCCTTTGCTATGTATCCTCTCGACGCAGCAACTTTAGCATACACTGCCGAGAGCGGCCAGAGCAACAGCAGTGCAACGAGTGCGTTATATGTATACATCAATACATATATCGCACAATGAAGCGCTCCTCGAAGCGAAAGGAAGGCTTGAGAGTGCTATATAACAAAGTAGAACGGGGCCAACGTCCCGTTGACCCGCTGACCCAATTGTCTCGCGTCTCGCGCGCGCTCCGACACATATAGCCACGCGCGAGCGGAGCAGCCCGAACGAAAGTGAAAAGAGAGGTCTATAATATCGACCGCTCTCGAGTACCGCCTCATGCTGCTGCTGCTGCAGCAACGCGTTAAAGTCTATATATCGTGTATATGATATATAAAGTGAAGCATCGAGCCTTGGCCTGCCCTTGTCTCTTTGTCGCTCTCTTTCTTTATCCTTGCTCTTCTCAGCCGCGATGATTGTGTTTTTTTTCGTCCGCGAGGGTGAATGGGTTCAATGGAGGTTACGGATATACATTCTTTACAGCTAATAAGTAGCGCGAGCCCTGCTGTATACGCGGATTCTTCTTTGTTTACATCGGTACGAGCTTTTGATTTTCGTAATTAACGAGCTACTTATAGAGATTACTCGCGCAGACAAGTTGAAAATTGATTAAGAAGGCCAAGCTATATGATTTATCTCCGAAATCTACATGTGCCGCGTGTAAATCCTCTCGTATGATGCCGTCAAAACATAAATAAATAAATGTGTCAAGTTCGTGACGTTTATGGGTGTCGCTCGTGTATTACTTCATTTTTCGACCGACCCTTCAAACACGTCTGGGTGGCTTTAAAATCGAATGTATTGACGAAAAATTGCGACCTTACCGACGCGAAGAGTTCGATCATCGTTAAACCTCACAATATTTTTTTCCTCCTGATCATTCATTGATGGCATTGAAAGGTGACAGAAAAACGTGTCTCATCCTTGTTGTTGCTCGATATTTTAAGAACAATTTCGAGGTCTGCTTGCCATATATCGATTACCGTAATCGACATCAATGATACCGTTGACGCCCTCTTTAATGGTGTATACCGCGAGATTGACCTCCAAACTAGATAAATGGGTCAACTTATTGTACAAACGAAGTAAATATGTTTGTATACGCATATACGGACATACGTCTAAAATCAGTGGATACAAGATTTTAAAGTGGTGTACAGCGGAAACTACACGAACTGATACTACTCTTTTGATGCTTTTCTGATTGACATGTTTTTTAGGTAAAATATTTCAAGATCAGTCTAGACGCTACTAAATTAGATTTTATTGGTTGACACATCTCAACAAAAGCTTACAAAACAATGTGTACATGAAAAACCTCAAACGAACGTAATGTATGTGAGACGTAATCGACTAATGAAAAATGAAAAAAAAATGAAAAAAAAAACACGAATTGATCTGAAAAATTGTATCAATGTTACGCACATATAATCCCTTTGCGAAAATTTTTTAAACGCCCCATCGAGCCTTGACTCGATTGTTTTTCATTCCGTCGTTCGACCTTTAAATATGCGAGCAAAAACTCGCGCACATGTTAAATGCATAAAAATATGATGCGCTGGGAGGACGCCACGCTTGATAATATGGCTCTTTGCACGAGCGCGCATGGCTCGCGGTTCGCTTGTTTTCAAGTGGATACAATATATGTCGTGGTCATTGAGATATAATTTTTGACTCGGGACTCCGAGGGCAGCGTAAATTTTTCAATGCTCCTTTTTTGGGATTAGTTTATAGCCTTTTTTGCGTCAAAGAATCTCCTCTAGTCTCATTGTCACAGTACAGCTGCATTTACATCTTGTAAATGAAGTATTGAAAATGTGAAGTAAACTTTTTGTTCTCATACGTTGTACACGTGTTGACGCGAAACATAACTCATAACGAATGTTAAAGACATATATCGTTTGTTCATTATTGAAAAACACATAATTTACATTATTGTTTATATGGACATATTTAAACTTACTCAAAGTCGCCTTGGTCCCAATAATCTCATGGTAATTTGAAATTTTACTATACCCACTTGCATTTGTTAACTGTAGAAAACGTTTTGTTTCAATAAATATTTTTAATCTGAAAATAATTATGATAATTATTTTTTTTTATTTATAACAGTTTTTGGGTCATTATTATTATTTTACAAAAAAAAAGATAACAAATTACTGATCATTTTAAAATATAGAGTTGGAGCGCTATGAATTCTGCATAGGGGGCAGCAGCGTGCAGCTTTTTTTACGTCGAAGATTTTAATAAGCTTTTGCCAGAACAATAAACATAAAATAATGCTGTAAGGTCGAAGACATATAAAAAAAAAGTTTTTCTGTCTCTCAAAATTGAAAGAAAATAAGGCAATAAATTAGATTTGCATTACATGTAAATAAATTGAAGTAATTCAAAAAACAAGATTTTGAATACAACTGATTAAACAAATACGAAGTTTTATTGATTGCGTTTTGCTTTTTTGTACGTAACAATGCAACGAAAATTATGTAACCATGAAGAGATAAAAAATTTTTTGACAAATGCATCAGGTTATTAAAATGAGTCTATTGCCGCATAGGTATGCTAATCGTGAACGATAAATCTTGTATCTTGATTATTTTTCAAATCGACAAAATTGATTAAAAATCGAAGCTAATTTGGCAGCGTCGATGAATTCCACAAAAATTAACCAATGCATTGTGTAAACTTGAAACTGTACGTATCTGCAAGTTTCGAAAGCTGTCCATTTTTCAATAATTAGAACACACGATCACTGTTCTACAAATTACCCTCTTGAGTCGCGGAAGTGGCTGATACATTAGAATGGCACTTATGCTACAGCGACTGACGACTTTTTGCCAAAAATCTAATTCCAATTACACTTATGTTCTAAATATCGTTCATATGGGTTTCTTTACCATATTTGTTAAGCTTGTCGCAGTAACAGAACGCAGCAAGCATGTCACCAGCGACGCTCAATATTATATACGTCTACGCATAAACCATTTATTTTTTTTCGTGCTTCTAACAAAGCCGCCGAGATGTGCTTTGAAAATCAAGGCCACGCACACGCGTTGCTTATTATATATTTATACGTACTTGTGCACATTCGTATCGTCTGGGAAAATGTATACAAGCGCATAATAATCGACTCGCGCAGCTCTCAAGGAGATCGTGTAGCTTCGCGCGATCGCGTTATATTAGTCGAAATAATAAAGCACGCATCCATCAATTGTAGTTTTTATTTGCTTTGTTACACATGTGTGCCGCGATGCCTATTATGTATTATCAGCGAGCGTTGAAGTTGTATCGAATTAAAAGTTTAATTTAATGTAAATCGTCGATCGGTATTAAGCTTCCGCAAACGTCAAATTGAGCGCGGGACTCGCGCATGACATATCGCGCGCCGATTAAGAATTCATCGCGTCGCCTCGCATTGCTATTATATTTAATCATCCATCTAGTTGCTGTCAATGCTGCGCCGAGTTGGAAGGTTTTGCTCAATTTTTATTGTTCTCACGGCACGAGACTCGCTCGCTCGCGCTTGCGATAGTCGAGAGCTACCGCGGCAGGTATTCGAACAAGCGGCGCCATCTAGCAAAAAACAGAAGATGGACAAGCTTGCAAGTGAGATGAGGCAAGTTTCGCTCAACCTCCACGATTAGTTTTGACTCTGCGCGGCGAATCTGCGATGATTTATAAGAGCTATTTGCATCATATTCGTCCAAATGGACCAAGTCCGAATAAACATTGTTGCTTCGTGGCACGAGAGCGAGAGACGAATAGAGATCAAATTTAGCAGCGAGTTAAACGAATCGTAAAGACATTGAAAATTTTGCTCTCGAGGCGCCGCGTCGTTCGTGAACGCAAAAAAGCTCCACCTTGCTCGAAACGCATTTTACTTTTCCGGTATACATATTAGTCTTCACATAGACGAAGACCTTGAAAGTAATTTGATAGAGTCAATTTATTGACGCATGAAGTACAAAATTGTCTTCCAAGTGCAAGTTGAGGTAAGAAAAGAAATAAAAATATCACGATCCTTTTTCCGGGATTTTTATTGGACAATTTTTCTAAAAAAAACTCCAGCTGTGTACTGCTACGGATCCGGAAATAAAAGCAGCTGCCGGGTGACAAATGAATGGAATCAATATCTGCGTATGCCCTCATACGTGACCCTCGCGCCCACGAATAAAGTCTTTCAGCGCAGATTTCAACTGATAAATAGTGTTACGATACACAACAATGAATATAATCTATATATAGAATCAGTACTTCTAACTTTGCTAATACAGAAGTAACGATCGAGTCGACAGATATAGATGCGAGTGCAAGGAAGTAAGCTTGCAAGCTCCCGGCGCGTCGATTACGTAGTAAAGTAGCTCCGGTAGTTCGCGCATATCGATCCGCGATGACGTCGTCGCACGTTTCATACATATACGACAATCGTATAGACACGGATAAATGTATATAATAAAGCATATAAACGTTCACCGGCTCTCGTATGTATATACCGCCTGCAGCCACCGCTGCCGCCTCTATGCAGTCTTGCCTACATAAAGCGAGGCGATATACGTACAATATGTTTTCAAAGTTCAAGGATACAACCCACGCCGCCGCTCGCGTATATCGTCGGCGTTGGCTGCTGCGCGTTTGACCCGCGCGCCTTCGATTCACCTTCTCTCGCTGATTACGCGAGTTTGCCCTTTGGCTGGAAATAGACTGCGACATTTAACGGACACGCGTGCACGAATCCATATATTGTACAGGACGTGCAATCGCACGCGCGCTTGCGGGGGCAGCCGGCCGGCGATAATGATAATATATACGCACATGAGTATTTTTAAAATGAATAATCGACACGCGAGACTGCGAAATTGTTTTCTTTCGAATTGTATGGAAAATTTTATGGATGCTTGATTGTGGAAAATACTGCAAGCTCGCGATATGCTGAAACGAAAACCCGATGAATTATACCGTATTTTCAACATAACTGCATTTACAGCATATTATTTATACAATTATTTTTACTTGGCTACTTACGGATTTACAGAAAAAGGGTACTCGTCATCTAGTGGTGGAGACTTAAAATAGTATTTCCGTATTTAAGTGGTTGAAAACTAGTCTAAATTTTATGGATTATTATTATGTACACTTGTCATTTCCACGTCATTTTTCAAATATACTAATTATTTGTAAAAGAAAAATCATCAAGAACCGGTTGATTAATAGTAAAATATATTTTAACAATTTTTGAATGGTCATTGTTTTGTCGTGAACGAAAAACACCGTAATTTTTCCTTAGAGTTTAACACGATTCACTAGAAAACGAACAAAAAAACAAGAAAAAGATTCATACGCCTCGCATAGGAATAAAACTCAAAAAAGTGCTCAATTAAAATTCACAGCTTCCAAATTTAAAAATTGCTTCGCAAAGGGGATGACGAGTATTTCCGAAAATGGAATAAAAATTCTTTCGAATTTAAGGTACATTTGAGTCCGTGCCTTCATATTACCAGGTATTTTAATGACAAATAGGAATTAGATTCATATATTGTTACAATTACTCATTTTATTTGAGCAATAACATTTTTTTACAAAAAATGAATAATGCGTCGACGCGAGTTCCATTTTTTCTACTTCTCTTTTTATTCATTAAAATCAACGTCAAAGAACAATTACACTAATCGATTTTCAAGATCGATTTAAGGCTAATGGATTCATGTCATTGGTCAGCGCGCAAATTACCGCTGCGCCGCGACTCGTGTCACTGTCAATGTCAATGTAACGCGATGAAAAATGTCGGTTCTAGCATTCTTGATCACTTTTTGCTACGCTTCGTTCGCGTCATGATGAATAAGAAAATGGAAAAATCTAACGTGACATCGAAGTTATACGAATTCGCCTCCAAGAGTTTTATCCTGCACCGTGCCACGCACATGTGATACAAAAAAATCGTTCAAGTTCACGTATGCAGCTCCTGTATAACGCGCGCGCCTTGCAAAGGTTGTATGACGTGACAGCCTCTCCCTCGCTCTCATCGTGGGTCAAGTTCAAGGCCGACTCGGGGGCACCTCGCCGGAGTATATAGTTTATATTTTTTTTCCTGCGAAAGGGAATGCGCATGGAAGAAAATGAACGTTATTGAATTTCAGAAAGCTTTTAGAGTAGCTAAAAGCCCATATGGAAATTGCGTTGCTCAGCTGCTGCTGCGTAGCGGAATTAAAATTAATGTATAAAAATGTAATAGCAATTGGCAAGCCACGTGCCTCTCTGTACCTTAAAGTACAATCAATTTTCACGTGAAAGCAAAAACAACAGCCACAGCGGAAAACAAGAGCGAAACTCGTGGCGAGCCTTGAGCACACACACGCCGTACTTATTATACGTTCCATCTCTCGCATCCGCGTGTATCTTTGTTTATCGGATGCTATACACGTATATATAAAAGTGGTAGATATATCGTACGAAACGCCAACGCGGAATCAACCTCGCTTCGCGGCGTGTGAAGTGCAGTGCACACTTGCACACACACGCTCGCACACAGACGCAGACAGAAAACACTGGATAAGTTGCCCGTGACCGTGTCGAGCCTTGGCCATGGCCCTGACGCTCTCTATTGGCGCGTCCGCGCCGAGGGACGCTCGAGACCGAGTCACGGGCACTTCGGCCAGTGGCAAGGATAAAATATCGTATAGATATATCACACACGCTCGGAGTGCGATATAGCATACGATCGGCACAGCAACAGCTCGTTATTCTGTATATAGCACGCCGCGTCTTTGACTTTATACACGAATACGATCGCGTGCGTAATTTCATTTGCTTCGCTCTTCTTCTCTTGAGCACGTCGAATGACCTGTAAAGCTCCTTCTTTCTTACTCGTAGAGCTTTTTCGAATGTGCTCTGTGTCTCTCATTGAATTGCGAGAAAAAAATATCTATTATTCAAACGATAAAAGCTTGAAATCGAAAAATTGCGTAACACGTGTTCGAATTTTCCCATAATAACGCTCCGAAATCCTTCTAAAAAGTTGTGCTTGATAATCTAATAATACGCGTGAATCAGGTCAAATGCAGTTTAGAAAGTACATATTAGTACCAACCGATCATCTTCTGAGTCAGCTAGTCTAAAAGTCGATTGCATTACCACCTACGTGCAGCGTTGAACTTGCCAACAAAATTAAATGACTTTCGGAAATTCTTATTGGCCGATTTGTTGGCGTCGACTGTATGCATAAAGACGGACACGCGACTCTTCCGTGCCGATACGGCACTTTTTGGCTTAATTATACGCGCTCGTAAACGCCACTTCCTTGTTTCATGAGACATGCGTTGCAACGAATAATTTTCAAAGTTTTTTAACTACTACTTATGAAGTGACATAGGTATGATCTTTATAGCTTGGTAATCACAGTAACGAATGATTTTCATTTTTTTTTTTTTTTAGATTCTTCTGTTTAAATGAAAAAGTATAGAAATAACTGTAATTATTGACAGCAAATTATTCGCAATTGGAGAAGTTTTATTTTACTTAATACAATACGTACATATAAAGAATAGAAAAATTAAAATCAAGCTGTTTTTACACTGCTCTTCTGTACAATTTTTTTGAATGCAACATCATGATCATATTTTTAAAGGCGTGAATGAAGCTTGACAATTTACTTATTTCTATAATAACTTTCCCACTATGAGCTTCTAGATTCAAAACTTTTCTTTCGTCATTTTTACGTCGGCTGTGAAATTAAAACCGAAAATTTAACAAAAAATGTATATTTGAAGTAATAGATTTTTAAAAATTTGTCAAAAAACAAATACAAGTTGACATTTCAAAAAAGAAATTCCAAAACTAGTACAAGTAGTGTTGAAGATTGATAGAAGCAAATATTTGCGTTCAACAATCAAAATTGACCAAAACTGATTACGACCACGGCAATTATTAAGAATTCCTAATTCCAAGGGCTTGCTCCAGTTCGGCTCGTTTCTGTTGCACTTTGGTGTAAAAGTAACGGCACACAGCCTCTTGTGCCCATGGTTGGTAATAAAACTCGGCTCTGCGTTCCTCTTCAGGATTACCAACAACGTCAGTCATTGTCTTCAGATCTCTAGTCTGAGATATGATCCATTTGTTAATAAACTGTTGAGGATCTTTAGCAAAGCTGAGGAAAAATTCCCGATTAGTTTTCAATTGATTGATCGTTTCTACGGTTTCATGAATTTTATTATCAAGAGTCTGGATTTCTTGTTGACTTGCTGTAGAAAGTAGGAAATTGTTCATTTGCGTTTTTAACGTATCGTCCACCTCCACATCAATATCATAACAAGCAGTTTGTTTTGTTTCAGTGCCTAAAATAATTTTTACAGATAATTTAAGTTTACTAAATTGAAATAATGATTAGTAAATTATTTTTTTCTTCTAAGAATTACCTTCAACACTTATAACGTGATTAATGACTATCGGATCTGGAGGGTGTAAGAGCGGATTTAATCGTTGAGGGATTTCAGCAAACTTCATTCTTTGAGTACCAAAGATTTGTTCCAAGTACTTGTCACAGTTAATAAATTCACGTTCGTGACCATCTTGAAGCTTGTGAGTTTTAATGTACTGCCATAGGGCTGATATAATAACTGGCCTGGTTTGAGTATGAACACCTAGCAATCGCGCTAATCTTGGATCAAGTTTGAACTGCAAAAATTGTTTTTATAAATATTTTAACACTCAATGCTCACTTTTTAAATGTATATTTTATTTTATTGCTAATATTTAAATTACCTGCAGTGGCTGATAATCCAGAAGTAAAAGTATTGTGCAACGAACATTTTTATCTCCCGGTCTTTTTACTTGAAAGCCATCTGTTTCTTGAGTAGTAAGAGTACGATGCCATTCTACTAAATGATTGTCTGGTCCGTACAAGTCTTTATCCAACTCAATGACTAAACTCTTAAAAAATGATGAAAACTTCCTCTTAACCTGTATGATTGCAAAATTTTAGAAATTGATCAAGTTGTTGTTATCAGTAGTAAATTTTTTTATATTTACTTTGTTAGGATCATTTTTGTTGTCGTCCAAAAGTCTACCCTCAACTCTCAATTCCCAAGAAGCTACAGAGCCCTCTTCAGTTTCCGTAGCTTCTTTAGCAGGATAAAAAGTATTTGAAATAAATATTCTAAGTTTGCGCTTTTGCTTCATAGGACGCTTTAGAGCCTCTTGAATATCAAGGCGCTTGCGCATAATTGTTGCATCTAGTTTTCGCTCAAAAGAAAGTAAGTCCATATAAGCTTGAGATTCTGGCACCAAATCACGTACTTTCTGAGGTAGAATTTTATCAGCCAGTTTCTTCTTTTTCTTGGATGAAGAGTGAGAAAAATCTCTGTTCACAAAAGGCCTAGATGAAATTTTTGACAACAACAATGTTAAATAAAAAAGAAAAAATAATAAAAATTTGAGTTTTTATGGTGTGGATGAATATGAGTCATTGTGAAAATAAGAAAATAATGAAAAAATGTTTACAAATGATAGTTGTGTATATATGCAAAAGCAAAGTACGTACGGTTTTTGTTGAGACATAGGCATTCTGTTATCTGCAGCTCGTTTGCCAGGAGGAGCATTTGTCATTGGTCCTGTTCGCATACTAGGATAAGGTTGATTAGGTCTCATCATGTTAGTTGGTGGACCACCTGGGGTCATCTGTGGAGGTGGTGTAAATCCTGTTCGCTGTTGCATCTACAAGTGATTACATTATAAATGAGAAGAATGAAAATAATAAATTGCATATTGCAATACATAAGAAAAATTTTATAAGTATTTTGCAATACAATTATTTATTATACTTACCGGAAAATTAGGACTATAGTTTTGTCTCATATTTGGTGGTACCGATGGAGTGGTATATCTTTGTGGCGGTGGACCATTGCTGGCTGCATTAGGCACAGGAAATCTTTGTGCCATCTTTAGAGAGTTTTCCAAAATTATTAGAGTATTCACTTAAACATTTAATATCACTGTAAGAAATCAGCAGTTGATCAATCTAACAAACACAGCAATACGTTTAAGTACGCCAATACGTATGCCTTGCGACACCTGAAGGTTATGCTCCGAAAAATAAAACTCATCAATTTACCTCGGACAACTAGACAGACGGTTTGCGAGTAATTGGAAAAGATGCAAGTACCCACGTACTCACAGCGAGCCAAGACGCCGCTTGACTTAACGCTACAATGATGGAACAATTGTTTACTTCTGGCGTCTAAGTAAAATAATGTCGTAGAGAGATTGTCACTGTGTACCGCTTGCTATTTGCGGCGTCGTCCTCAACGGCAACAATGGCGCTACGGTCAATTCTCTTTGGACTTTATTGACTTGATTATGACAGAGTTTGGAGTCTAAAAGACAAGCGCGACTAAATGCTCCATAAAATCAATATGTAATTGCTCTAGATATTTTAAAAGCTCGTATTTTTGTCCGTGTATTTGTCAAATTAAACTGCAGTATTCTTTTAATGGATCATAATGTTCAGAATAGGGAATAATAAAATGTAAAAGAACCTTAAAAGAAACTGAACAAGAGGATAAGTTTATAAATAATTCAACCACTTTTTTCAAAACATTAAGAAGGCTGTCTACGGTTAAATTATCATAAAATTATGATAAAATAAATATTTTGTTAAGGGAAAAGTAGGAATTCGTAAATGCATATCAAATGAATGCCTAGAGTAAATAGGACGTGTCGAAAGCAGGATAACGGAGTTTCGCTCATAATTTTACTTTCTCGTAATTTATCCCCGATGCACTACCTGTAATGAGTTCTTGAATTTTACATAGGCCGGCTGCAGTTATGCCAACCGAATGCACTCCGAAAGTATACGACCAACAAATGATGCACGGTGTGCAATGCACACCGCGGCACAAGGCATACAACAATGTGATGTCCTCTCGTCGAATGCAGCATTTTAAATTGCGCGTATAAAGAAGTGTGCACGTCCACACAAACTTATACACAATGCGTACGGGGAAATAAAAGTATACGGATGTGTGCACATCTTATAAAATGCCTTTTATTCATGGAATGCAATCTTGTGGGCACTGGGCAGGAGCCAGCGAAATGGCCGCGAGGCCCGCGAAGACGCCGCGCGGCTTTTTACCCTTCCACTTCTTGCGAGGAGTGCCAATTGAAAATTTTTTCATTGAGTAGAGGACGAAATTTTAAAAACAATTGATGTTTGAGAAAATTGTAGAAAAATAATTAATTTGCTTCATTTCATTTTACTTTTTTTATTGTATTTTTTTCTAACATTGTTGAATAATTTTTACAAACAAGTAAATTACATAAATGTATACATTAGATTTATACAGATTTGATTAATTTTTCTTTTCATATCATCAGGCATGACAATGATCTTCATCTATTTCTCCTATTTCTTTGTGAAAGGCCCATAGAGAAAGCAGATTAAGATAATTATTTAATGATGAGATTTATTCTTATATATTGTAAACTAATTGCTTACATACTAAACAAAAAAAATAGTGTTTGTTTTTTTCAATTTTTATGTTATTTTCACAAATCTAATCAATTCATGATTTATTTCATATTCACTCATACACTTAAGCTATTTAACTTTACAATAATTACAGCGTTACATTTTATTTACGTTTTCATCAGTCACTACTCAAAGTTTCCTTAAATTTAAAAAATCACAGTCCATGATTTTACACTTGAAAAAAAAATCTGTATAGTTTTTTGTAAGTGTTGAAACTGTATTGTACTACTTAAAGTATTCAAAATCAGGAAAAGACTTCTTTGGAACTTTAACTACAAGATCAGAATTAATTCTCTTTTTAGTTCAAAATGTATAAATTCATTCAAGAATTTATCTTTTGCAAATCTGTAAATAACTTGCATGATAAATGAATCAAATTCATTTTTTTTAAGTAAATTAAACAATACAAATTTGAGAATAATTATGATACATTACTTGTAAAGTATAAAGTTAATTCATAAAAGCACAATTATAAGAAATGCATATAAGTGTTGTCAATTCATAAAATATCAAATTTCATACTAAGTTCATCCATTCTATTCATTAATATCTATATCTATGAATTTAAGAAAAAGAAAGAAAAAAAAGTGTGACTAGTTAACATTCACATTTCAAAAGTGTGAATATTCACAATTTTTGAATAATAAAATAAATTATAGAAAATTTTTTCACTTTTCAGTTGAAAACTTTTGATAGTAACATGTGTAAAATCTACATGTAAATGTATCCAATTATTCACAAAACAATGAATTAATTGATATGCAACCGCTTGATACCAATATAATTAAGTTTATATTTAGTTCTTAATTTTTTCAAACTAACTATTTGTTTTAATAAAGTTTCAACAAGCAGATAGTTTAAAAAAATATTTGTGTTTAAAGATCATTTTAAACTGGACTTGAAACAGTTTTAAACAAAATCATATATAACAATTGAATAACACAGGCTTTAAATGATTTACAAGTTAATGTGCATGCAAGTTAATCACAGTAAAATATGTCTTCTGCCCTTAATTCGATTAACTAAATTACAAATCTTCAAAGCTGGTCCAAGTTTTAATCCCATATATTTCATCATCATATCTGAATTCAAAAGAAGCAAGGCTTTGCCATCAATTTCATGCTTTCTGAACAAATCTGCATGATGTTCTAAAGCTGGATCAGTTATAGCTATAAATTGAATAACATCTTCAATGGTCCATTCACCTGGTTCAATTGTTTGAATTCTTTGAAGTGGATTTTCATTTTGAGTAGTAGAAGTAGCTGCTTCCAATTCAGGAACAGATTTTTTAACTTGTTTTGGTGGTGATGGTGCTTGATTTGTTGTTACATGATTAGATGTTGGTATAGGATTTGGTGTTACAAGATTAACTGATGTCTCTGAATCCCTCTTTTGCACATGAGATGGCTGAGGCATTGCAAGATTTTCTTTTGAATCTGACCATTTTCTTTTCATTGTACCATTAGTCAATTCTTCTTTCTTGGCAGAATCTTGTAGTTTATTCTGACACTTGATGCAGCCTTCATTTCTTTTAGTAAACATATTTTCACAAACACGCATATCTTCTAATTGTTGTTTCATATACACATATACATCATCTTCTTCCATAAACACAGGTAATACAACAGTAGTTGATTTATTATCAATTGTCAAAGTAATACTTTCGCCTTCTCCACGTCTGAATAAGCTTAATATTTGACGAGGACTAATCGCTGCTGTCAAAAATCCTTGAAGTATATTTTTAATGACTGATGTGGCTTGATCAGTGAATTGATCTAAAAAAGCCTTCATTTTATGTGGAAAAAAGTAGGGCCCAAAAGAACAGCTATGATTAGAATAAAATGTAACTTTTTCAGTAGATATCGTTTTAGTACTAGTTGTGCTTGTATCGGGCTCAGTGGCTATTTGAGATGGTACATTAGAACTTGCAGAGCTTACTAATGCTGACACTGGTTCTTGTCCAGTTCCAGTAGCAGATGTACCTGGAGGCGTCGATTGAATATTACTTGTTCGATTTTTAAATCTATTTGGTCCAGGTGGTTTTTGTCTTGGAGGCTGTAATGGGTGTCCACTTTTTTGACACCAGCCAGGTGGAAATATATCTCTGGAATCATATCTGCACCAGTAATCAAATGCTCCTCTCCATCCATCGAAAGATACATGAATTGATTGGTCTTTAACTGCTCCAACAGTTGCTGTACAAATTAATTGAGGATTCTTTTTATCAATTGCCTCTAACTTTTGACCAACTTTAAACATATTTTTTCTTGGAGTTGGTGGTTCTGGTTTAAACACATTAGCTGGAGCCATTTCTGCTCCATTCAAAGTTTTTAGAAGAAACATAGGCCAACTAGAAGCATTCATTCTAAAACCAAGTGGAGGTTGTAACATTCCACCGCCTTTTTCACAAGTACCAATTGGATGAATTTCATTGCTATCAACTAAACGCCAAAAATCATTTTTGTTGTCAGAACCATCCAATCTCAACTTGAGTCTAGGTCCATGCGTTCCTACTACAGTGGCAATACAAGTTGAAGTAACATTACGAGGATCTAATGCCTCCACTTTCATATTTATTTGAAATTCATTAGTCGGTGGATCTGCATGCTGTTTGAAGCATTCAGGAGGGGCTGCTTCACTGTTTGTTTCTTTCAAATAGGATTCCCAGTCGAATGGTATAGGTTGTTGAATAGCACCAGTGGTACTTGGCGATGATAATTGATTAGGAGAATTGGCAGATGGACTAACCAAATGATTGTTGGATAACGCTGGAACTGTCGTTGGAGTTGAGGTATTGTTTGATACTGTTGTTGTGCTGTTGTTGCTCTTCTGATTGGGCATCGATGATGAGGAAGCCAATTGTACTTGTTCATCTGAGTTTTTCTTACTATCACCAGCAGGAGTTGCCACAGCAGCTGCAGCAGCCGCAGCCGAGGCTGCTGCTTTGGCCAAAGCTTTCTTTTGATGTTTGTTAAGACACATTGTCGAACAAAATAGTTTGGCTGGTTCGTTTTTCAGCTCCAATTTAACAGGAGTACCACGAATAACATTGTCACATTGCACGCAAGCCCCGTGCACGTAAGCCTTGCGAAACTCAGCTAGACAAGTTGGACAGCAGAACTCTTTTTTGCCATGCTGAGTAGGTAGGACGTACTTGAGAATGAGCTTGTTCTCGCCGCACCAGGTACAAACCGTGCGCAGCTTTGGAGGTCTCCCTCGACCTCTTGGCTCACCTTGAGGCCCTGGATTCGGCATATTTGTCGGCTCTGGGCTTTTTAACAGCTATTAAACTTTTCACTATGCACCTATATTAGGCGTGCTCGAGATATTTCATAGTAGCGAATATCGCGCGCGCATCCACGTTTTTTTTATTCACGAGTAATCGCACACTCCACAGTCACCAGCACTCGATAAGTGAGTTATGCACTGCTCATGGCTACACGAATTGATTATACGCTTTTGAGCGTGTAATGTATAATTGAAACACTCGTTGCAATGGCAGGGGTTTAGTCTTTGCACTTGCTCAGCTGCTCACACGCAGTACATTAAAGTCACATATATAATACAAGTCTGTATTGTAACAGCCAGGCATGCATTAGCGCATCAGCACGATGAATATGGGTAGTTCGGAGTTTCTGACTGTCTATATATCACGAGTGTCGCGACGCAGCCTACATGTATTTACCGAAGTGAGTGAGAGAGAGACAGATAGAGAGAGACCGATGCGCATCGAGTCTCTTTTTTATTAAACTTTGATCACTGAAAAACTGTCTCAGTGCTTAGTTCGACTCTATTTCGTCGCACTGGCTCCTACCATCGTTCGCTCATTGAGCGATGATTTATTGCAGGCTTAATAGTTCAGCGTGTTTCACACATCGGCGAATTATTAACCCACGCACACGCACGTCGCAGACGTATATGAACGTGTATGTGTAGCTTCGCGCACTGAAGAACCGGAGTCGCAGCGCAGACGTCGACGCACGCACGCACGCAGCGTTCTAAATATATCTATATGTATACTTTGAGGCCTAATATACAACGTTGCATGCAGTATAACACGCTTTTACTGTGTAGCCTATCGCCAATATGGTTATATTATCGTGAGAGTGTGAGTATGCGAGCGACACGGTTTTATATATAATATATCGGGCGCTGCTGCTGCTGCTGCTGCTGCTGCTGCTGCTGAAGCGCTCCGGAGAAGCAACGCGGCGGCGGGCAGTTTTGAAGGGGGACTCCAATCACGCCATTTTAAATTTTTCCTGCTGTTGCTGCTGCTCGCGCGTTGTTATTATATAGGTACCCTTATAATGTCGCGCAGTTGCGAGTTTTTGCAGTGGAATATATATAAGACAGTCGGTGGCCTGCAACTGGCAAACTGAATTCAGAACTCTTTTTGCCTTCGGCCTTATAATAATAATTTCTGCATGCTGCACAGTGTGCGCGACGCGCGCGCAGCATAAATGTCTCGTGTATATAATACGAGTGCAGGAGCACATCCCCAAGCTGCTCTAAATATGTAGGACAAGCTGTGGCGATGTTATCTCTAATATAGCTTCGCGTTCACGGCTGTTAACATTATTCATATTTGAATTTCGCGACTCTGATATGCCTAGGCACGCGCGGGACGATTTTGGGCGAGGTTGTTTACCTCTCTATTACAAGGCTCGACTCCTTTTTTCCCAATGTTTACATTATGATGATACAGCATATCGTAAAAGATGAGTCGCGGATTCTCTTTTCGAATGCGACCCGTGAGATTTTATTGATTTTCAAGAATTTACAATGCGATGCCTGCCACTAAGTGAAAAGATGGCGCCATTAAGATAAGACAATGCGCACGTATGCTATTTTTATGTCCAAATCACATCACACATGTATTATATACTCACACAAATGGGCTTGTCTACTACTCGCCGACACCGTTGCGTGTATTACCACGAAATGCAAAAAAAAAGTATGGCAGTTGGCGGTACGGACGATTATTGGTTTTGAATAAAAAAAAACCAGTGAATTCGAATGTTCTCCCCTCTCGAATGAATAATTCATTTCCAATGTAAATTTGAATACAACGGTCTTGAAGCGACTTGAATTTAAAAATAAAAGTAATTCTAATTCGATGATTCGACCGATGCATCATTAAATGGTTAAAAATGCTATTGTTAAAAAATGTTGTAAAAGGGTTTTAAATGAAGATTAGAAAATTAAAAAAAAACAAGACAAAATTTACATTGAAACAAAGGGCATGATATTTTTGACCAAGTATTTAAAAAAAATGTTTTCTACTGGAGCGATTAAAAAAGTTCCGGTCATTGAAATCTCTGGACGAACTACTTTATTTTAGTCTCGAATGGCGTAAAATGGTCGATTAGCAAAATCAACTCGTGCGTGCTGCAGTAGTCACAGTTCACACAAATGAAAATGTAATTGTGAAACGCTTCGTAAAAGCAATATGTTATATGACACGTAATATGTTATATGACGATCTTTTTAAAACCTTCTGCTAGTTGCACTTTGCGCCATCAGGCCCGGAAAATTTCAACTAACCTCGCAAGTCGCACATGTGCGTTGTGCTCCCTGTTATACTCGTGGATCCAGCACGTTCGTGTGCTTGGGATAGAAGGAGTTACAATTTTATACAGTTTTAAATAAAATAATTTATAACAATGGGTAAAAAGGCTAAAATTGGAAAGCAGCGTCGTGATAAATATTATCACTTAGCTAAAGAGACAGGTAAGTTTCTTTATATTTTGATATACCGGTCTGAGAGATTATCTTAATTTTCATCACATGGACTGAACCTTTATAAATGATGTCAACAAAATGACAACAAAATTGTTCAGTCAAGAAGTCTTCAATATTTGATAATAACTTTAATTTCTTTTTCAATCTCAGGTTACAGATCTCGTGCTGCATTCAAGTTGATTCAGCTGGAAAGAAAATTTGAGTTCTTGAAAAGAGCTAAAGTATGCATAGATTTGTGCGCTGCCCCAGGAGGATGGATGCAAGTAGCTCATGAACATATGCCAATGTCAAGTATTGTTGTTGGAGTAGATTTATTCCCAATCAAACCTGTACCAGGATGTATCTCAATAGTAGGGGATATCACTGTTGATAAAACCAGAGTAGAAATATCTAGAGAACTTAAAACCTGGAAGGCTGATGTTGTGCTTAACGATGGTGCACCAAATGTTGGTCAAAATTGGTTGCATGATGCTTATCAACAATCTACTTTAACCCTTTCTGCTTTGAAATTGGCCACTAGTTTTTTGAGAAAGGGAGGATGGTTTGTCACAAAGGTTTTCAGGTCTAAAGATTACTTAGCTCTTGTGCACAATTTCAAGCAACTCTTTCAAAAGGTAAATTACACTAGTATAATAAATAAATTAATAACTTTTTAGCTAAAAATATTTTCACTATATATGAATGGGTCCATAATAATTTATTTTATAATTTAATGTTTAGGTTCATGCCACAAAGCCCTCAGCATCACGTAATGAATCTGCTGAAATTTTTGTTGTTTGCCAAGGTTATATTGGTACACCCAAAGTTGATCCCAAATTGCTGGATCCAAAATATGTATTTGCAGAAGCTGAAGAAGACCTTAGGCATAAATATAACATTTATGCACCAGAAAAGCAAAAGAAAGCCAAAGCAATTGGTTATGAAGATGGAGATTATACTCAGTTTCACAAAGTTTCTGTTAAAGATTATATTGCTGGGTCAAGTGCAGTCGAAACACTTCAGTATGCTTCACAAATTGCCATTGACGATGAAAGAATCTTGAACCATCCAAAAACAACAACAGAAATCAAAGAATGTTGTAAAGACATTAAAGTTTTGGGTAAAAAAGATATGAAAAATCTTATGGCTTGGTGGAAAGCAATGAAAGCTGAGTTTGGAGAAAAAAAAGTTATAGCTGAACCAGATACAGTTGAAGAAATAGAGCCCAAAACTCAAGAAGAATTGGAAGATGAGGAAGATGAACAAATTACACAAGAAATAGAAAAAATCAAAAAAGAAAAAGCCAAGGAACTGAAAAAAAAGAAAAAGAAAGAGCGCGAAGAAAGAGTCAAGCTCAATAAAGCTATGAATTTAGAAATGGTTCACAAAGGAGATCCAGGAATTGTAATGGAAGCTGATGATATGTTTTCACTGGAACAAATTAAATCTGCTACCCAGTTGGCTCAAGTGACTGATCAAGCTCCTGATATGTTAGCAGTAAGTGATGAAGAGAGTGAGGACGATGAAAAAGTTTTACCAAAATATGTTAAGTATGAAAAAGATTCAGGACACTTGGATAGCAAAGGATTATTTTATAAAGATGATGAAAGTGATTTGGAATTTGATGAAAATGATGATGACAGTGATAAAGAAGACGATGATGATGGTTTTGGTACTGATACTGAAAATGATGTAAAAGAAGAAGAAGACGAAGAAGAAGAAGAGGAAGATATTGAAATGGAAGTGGATGATGATGAAGAAGAAGAAGAAGATAATAAAGAGGAAGAACACCCTCTAATTACAGATTTGGATTACAGAGATCTGAGCACTAAAAAATTAGCAAAAATTAACATGTTTTTTGAAAGAGATAATTTTAAAGATTCTAGTGACGAAGAATTAGTGGAAGATATGGACATTGATAGAATGGTCGATGTATACAAAAAAAAAGGAGGAAAAATTATTGGTGATGACAAAGATTCCTCCCAAAAAAATAAAAAATCTGGAAAGTCGAAATATCAGAGTGATGATGAAGTATCTGATAATGATTCTGATTATAATGTCGATGAAGAAGTAGGTAGAGATATCAAATCTTCCAAAAACAAAGCAAAGAACAAGAAAGTTGGTGGCAAAGATGGATTTGAGATAGTGTCCAAAGAATCAGGTAAGCTTAAAATAATTCATCATGAAATATTATATCACAAAAAAAGATTATAAAAATACTTATAAATATTTTTGTCACAGCAGCAAAATCACAAGTTAAAAAACGAAAACTGACGCCAGAGGACTTGGCACTAGGAACTATGATTGCTCAGGGCAAGAAAGCTCGCAGAGACATCACTGATGCTGCTTGGAATAGATATGCTTTCAATGATGATCACTTACCAGATTGGTTTGTGGAAGATGAGCAAAAGCATATGAAAAAGGAAATAGAGATCCCAGAAGAAATACTTGAGGATTGCAAGTCGCGAACGAAAGGTATCAATGTGAGGACCTCTAAAAAAGTCATGGAAGCAAAGGCTCGTAAGAAGAAGCGAGCATTGATGAAAATGAATAGCGCAAAGAAGAGGGTTGAAAATGTTATGGAGAATGTAGAATTAAGCGAACGCGAAAAAGCTAGACAAGTGAAAAAGTAAGTTTTTCTAGTGTTGAAAATTGAAAACATGGGTCTGTATTATTTACTAATCCAATTTTTTTTTCTTTCAGTATCTACAAAAAAGCTACGCAAGAACCGAAGAAGAAAGTCACTTACGTCGTCTCTAAAAAGCACAGTGCACAAAAACGCGTTTCTCGACCTCGCGGTGTTAAAGGACCTTACAAAGTCGTTGATCCTAGGATGAAAAAGGATCTGCGTGCTGCAAAAAATAAAGAAAAGACAAAAGGTCGCGGGAAGAGAGCGCCGCCACCAGGTCGTGGCAGAAAAAATGCGTCCGGAGGTCGGGACAAAAACAGCCGAAATGAAAGGAGATCACAGGCAGAAACTGGTGGTAGCCATTCAAAGGGTACCAGAGTCAGAGGTGGCAAGGGTAAAGGTGGTGGCAAAGCCCCAAAAAGGCGCTAAACTTAGACCACAATTAATTATGTTAAAAATGCTTAGCTAATAAAATTATTTTTACTATTTGTTTATACTACATTGGTATTATTACCAATCATCTGTAAATAAAATTTAAAAAGTTAAAACTTGACGGATTTTAATATAAATGAATGGTGTTTTTATTTCCTATCTATAATATCACAAATGAACAGTAAAATTAGTTTTATGGTTTTATATCTTTGAGCCTCAACTCTGAATTGCAGCTGTGGTCGTTTTAAGCATATCGCACCCACTCCAATTTATAGCTCAAAATACTATTAGAGCGCTTGGGCGTGAAATTCAGAATCTGCCACGTGAGCCTGTGTACTACATGCTCAAAGCAAAAAAGTAAAGTGTTTTTTAAAAATTTAAATGAAAATCTAAACATAAATAAAATTTATATGGGCATTATGAAACTTCTATGGACGTTTAATACTATATTTTTTGATATTATTAATCATCAATTATTTAAATCCGTGTTTACGTAAAAACTTATTGCGCAAACTTTTTAAACTCGCCGGATGCCTGAATTCGACTAAATGAGTGTTGATAGACAGTGTCATGATGCTTGATTTTTCAAGTTTGTCGTCACAATATTAGAATAACAATGATATTTTTATTCTAACAAAAAAAGCGAAAAAGAATTACAATTGACATTCACTTTTATACGAATTTAAATTTCGCGCTTACTCTGAGTGCTGCTTTTTGGAGCGCTGCCAAGTGCGGCGCTGTTGTAGTCTTCGAGTTTCTGACGCTAGCTGTCGCATTCGCGTCTTCGAGTCAAATCAGAAGCGAGCTTGCATTGCAGATGCACGCCGGCCGCTTACAAATCACTCGAATCGTTACAAATCATGGCTGCTGGACCGATAGCCGAGCGGAATCAAGGTAAATTATTAATTAAAATTACTATTTTGTAACTAACTAATTGAAAAAGATTCTACTGGATTAATTTCTCTGGAGATTTCAAATGTTTTCATCGATTCCCATGGCTAACTTTTTCAACGCTACAATTTTATATATTTTTAACCTCTAAAATATCTATTAATAACAGTATTCGTCAACATTAATGTGACGTTTGTATGTGCTTTATGCGCATTGCCTAAAATCCAATAATTATTCATCAATTTGAGTGTTGATTTGTCTATATGAGCATGATTTTTAATTATCCTAATGTTTATTATAGATGCCACAATATATGTGGGTGGTCTTGACGACAAAGTATCGGAAACTTTGTTGTGGGAGCTATTTGTCCAATCAGGACCAGTCGTAAATGTACATATGCCCAAGGATAGAGTTACCCAAATGCATCAAGGTTATGGATTTGTAGAATTCATGGGTGAAGAAGATGCTGATTATGCAATAAAAATCATGAACATGATCAAGTTATATGGAAAGCCTATTCGTGTAAACAAAGCTAGCGCCCACCAAAAGAATCTTGACGTTGGAGCAAATATTTTCATTGGAAATCTTGATCCAGAAGTGGATGAAAAATTATTGTATGATACATTCAGTGCTTTCGGAGTTATATTACAGACGCCAAAGGTATTTATTGACAAACATCTTATTTTTCTATCTAGAAATGATCATTTAAGGGTTCCTTACACCCACTCAGTCAATAACTGATACATGGTTATTTTGTACACATTTTTGAAATGATGCTAATTAAAATTATAAAAGTATGCCTGTTTTTTTAGTTTTCAATTATAAAAGAGAGTTAATTGAAAATCAAGTTTTTTCAAAATTTCGATCATGTAACAGAAAACCAATGACATGGGCACAAGTTTGATAATTTCTTTTACAAAATTTCAAGTTTAATGGTTGTCTGTAGAATAAAAAAAAATGTGTACAAAATAATCGTTATGAACTACAAAGAAATCTAATTCAAATAGTACAAATTAAAATTATATCCAATTGTTAATCATTAAATTTTCAATTTACAGATAATGAGAGATCCGGATACAGGAAACTCCAAAGGATTTGCTTTTATCAACTTTGCTTCTTTCGATGCTAGTGATGCTAGCATAGAAGCCATGAATGGACAGTATCTTTGCAACAGGCCAATTTCAGTATCATATGCTTTCAAACGTGACTCCAAAGGCGAGCGTCATGGTAGTGCTGCTGAGCGTCTTTTAGCTGCACAGAATCCATTGAGCCAGGCTGATCGGCCGCATCAACTGTTCGCCGATGCTCCTCCAATCATGCCTATGCCAGCCATGCCAATGGGTATGCCACCACCGCATCCGGGAATGATGCATCCAGGCATGGTGATGGCCCCTCCTCCTCCACCATCAGCGGTGCCTCCGATGGGTCATCCACCTCCTCCACCGGTGCCACCACCACCAGCGGGTTTCCCTGGCAGTATACCGCCACCACCGATGCCGCCGATGCCGAACATGCCGGCGCATCCTCCACTACCGCCAGGCATGCCACCACCGCTACCCCCGATGCCCTCTCAAAATCGACCCATGATGCAGTGGCCGGCTGTGCCTCCGCCACCGCCACCGACTGGCGCTGCTCCGCCACCACCTCCACCGACAAATCCACCTCCGCCTCCACCTCAGTTTGGACAGTTCCAACCGCCACTGCCGAGAACCCCTGGACCGTTGCCTGGTGCAACGTGGAGGGCTCCCCATCCACCACCGCCATTCCCGCCTAGGGGTCCACCGCCACCTCCGCCACCACAATAAAAAGCATATATCTTTTGTATGCGGATTGTACAGTATCTAGATAATGTAAAATACTCCATAGAATTTCATAGAAATTTTGGACTTTACTCCATAAGGAATGTAAATAGTAAACGTTTATATTTTTAAGTACAAAAACTGATTCGCCTGTCGTGAATATATGTTTTTTAAAATAAATAATCGAAAAAGAAATGAAAAAAAATTTCTTGTTTTCTTCCTATACTTATTGATGTACATCACGGAAATACGTTCGACCTCGCGCCTTCTTATAACGATATCAATGTAATTTCTTGAATTTTCTCACACAAGCATGAAGTGAAGTAAAAAAGAAAATAGGTGAACTCGCTGCGTAATCGCGACGAAGCATCGACAACACACGCGGCAGCAGGACAGAGCGCGTATAGTCGTATATTTATAGTCAACGTATCGATCGACGACCGAATGTGTCCCGCTTGCTAACGAATCGATCGTCCCGAAGTTGTACCCAGCAGCAAGTGGTGAATATATATAATGCATAATATACAGCTAGCCACGTCCAGTAGAGACTCGACCTCTGCGTAGTCAGTGCACATATAGAATCGAAAACTTCGTTACCTTCTATACGCAATCCAGCGAGCTTTTTTCATTTGAAGATACCTGTGAAGCTGCGCGTAAAATCGGTATAAACGTGGTTCCGTTGAACTACTCATAAATGCATTCGACCATAAGACATCATCCTCGCTACGCGATACCGGATTGCAAATCGGATAGATAGTACGACGCGAAAGTATAAACGGAACATAATATGTCAACGCGCATATCGTGGGAGTGCGACAACGCGACCAAGTCCACGGCGGAGGAGTCACTCCAGGGCGGCCCGGCCAAGCCATTCCCGTGCGCGCCCGACAAGTTTTGCTTCTACTGCTGCTGCAATCCCCAGTGCTGCTTCGTCATTCAGCGCAAGCCGCCCAAGCACTTCTGGGAGGCCTGGTACGTCTGGCTCAGCATCGCTCTGCTCCTCGTCATCGTCCTCTCGGCGGTAAATGAAATTCATTTATATACACGTTATATCGGAAGGATCGAACCTCGCACGAAATTATTATATAGCGTAAGTATACGGATTTATCGATTTTCGCGGCGCGCGCGCTTATATATATCATGGCTCGTGTGCAGCAATGACGATGAATATTTAACGAGGGAAAAATTCGTTTTATCGCGCGTCGATCGCGTTTTCGCGCGCGCAAACTGTATACTGTTATTATTGTATCATCGACGAAATCGGTTGCGATCGAGCTCGCACACGTGATAATAGTTTTTTTCTTGTCACCTTTTCTGCACGCAGATAGGCACCTACATCGTAACCAACTGCAAGCAGAATCTCGCGTCCATCGGTTTCTACGGCAGAGGCATCGGCGCGGCCGCGGCGGCGACGACAACGAGTCTCGTTGGCAGTGCGGCGTCGAGAAACCGGGCGCTGCAGCAGCAGCAAGCCATCGTCGACAACAGGAACGAGATTTCCATAAATGTTATACCCACGTCGGCCGCGACGCTCTCGAGTCATCGGAAAATCATGCTCATTCCGCCTCAGCCGGCTTGTACTCATCTGAGTGAGTACATTAATGAAATCATAATATGATTGTTTTGCGCATGGAAGTGATTTCTTATATCCCCTTTCAATACTTTTTTTCTCTATCTATTTCCAGCCCCAATAGTTGCTTGAATGGATACAATACTGCGAGCATTGGACGTAAATGTGTCACGAATTTTGCATTTTGCTTCATTAAGAAACAAGTTCAAACAAGAAGTTGAAAAAGTATGAGAACGTGTCGATTTAATCTTCAATGTATGAGATATTTATACGATAATTGTAATAAATATCTTGGACGATCGTAAATGTCGATTTTTTGTACAGTTGCGGAATCCGAGTTATGACGTAATTTTGAATATAGCGAAAAAGGCGCTTTTAAGAACGCATATTCAAAGTACCATCATCGAAGGCCTCCTTCTGAGTAAAGCTAGATCGTTAATTTTCGATATTGCTCGTTACGTCGATTAATTATATTATTTCGTTAATTGATATTTATCCATTAAAATAATACCAATATTTTATGGCTTAATAATTGAAAATATTCTACGAGCTAAGTGGACAATTTATTCCAAAGCACTTTATTTTATCGTCTATAAAAAATTTTGACTGAACGATCTACGACTTTTTTCAACTTGTATTATACCTCCCGAGCTAAGCGTTTCATTGAAAGTCGCAGTAGGTCTGTCAACGCGATCGCAACAAGTGCATAATTTTATTCAAAATCGTACAGAATGAAAAAAACAGTAAGCGAATGCCTGGTGCAGAGTTTGAAGCCACTGAGCTCGTCGAAGTTCCTCAAGATCGTTTATATTGCGACGATTAAAGGAATGTCAAGAGCCGAGCTTGCATTGTAAACCACCCAGTGGCTTCTGCGGTGCAGTGAATGCAAGGCAGAAAAAAAAGAAAAATGGAACTATCATTTACGAAGAAAGCCGTGTGCGCGCCGGTGTGTGGAGGATATTACAGCATCGCGCAGGGCCAGTATTACCGCGAGAGAGAGAGAGAGAGAGCGAGTGCACGGTGCAGTACGCGCGTGGAGCAAGGAGGAGCGCCGCTTTGGATGTATATGAGCGCATATATAGGTACGGCGAGAGGCAAAAAGTGCTGCTGCTGCTGCTGCCCTTGAACAATGAAGGTACATAACGCAGCTAAGAAGCGGCGCATTATAAGCTGTAGGATTTATGGCATGGCGCAGCGGACCCGCGCGGATCGTGAGTTACATTACGGACATTTTTTCGCGGTCTATTGACCTCTCGGGGCTTTCATGTAATGAAAGAAGAAAAAAAAATTAAATAAAAAAAAGCTGCGCCGAGTACTACGTTGGTATATGATTATACCACTGCACTGTTGCGCTATTATTGTATTATGAATATACTTTTGAAGCTTGTCTTTGGTTACTTTTTCGATTCATTTTCTATATTAGCTGTGTATTTTTGAAAAAGATCTCTTTTGAATAAATTGACGATTTTTCTGTGGAAACATCAAACATTAATAAACACTTTGATAAATAAAAATGATTTTTCCTTTCATTTTAAAATTAGTCGTAGATGAAATAAAACTTAGCTACTTTAAAGCTAGATTTGTTCTAGATGCTAGTCTAGTTTGGAAAAAAGATTTGTATATTCACATAATTTAATTATATTAAAAACATTCTCATTCTCCTAACAATTTGGTCTACCGAGCTTTTCTTTTTTTCCTTTTTTTTTTTCAATTGGTCATTGTTAAAAACATTATACAGTCATTGGACAGATAAAAATGGATTCATTTCTTAGCAACAAGTAAGCGATTCATGCAGTATCACGATACAGTTTTAATTGCTGCCCCCATTACACTGCTTGTTCGCTGATTAAATGCTTCTCGTTTTTTTCGTGTTTTTTTTTTGTTGCGTACAGATGTTGACTGTATAAATTTTGAGAAGGCCTCCCTGCTGGAGATTCACAGAATTAATCATCCCTGGATCTTAATTGAATGAGTCGATTCTTAATGTTACATCGAGTCAATACGTTTCCCCGGCTCTTATCGAGGCTTAATGAACGGGCGACACATGATCGATTATCTCGGTAAATTTTATAATCAAATACTCTCGGATGTTCTTATAAAGATACTCGATGAATCTAAGGTAGCCCCATTTGAGATATATCGAGCAGATGAAGATACAAAAAGACTATTTTTACGAAAAATGTATGCAAAAAAGTAACACGAAATTCAAAGCAAAAATATAGCCTAGCTGTAATTTAGCAAATATGCTAAAAATTTTCGTTTGTCAATTTTTGAATGATGATTACACAGCACTCAAGTTGCAACTAGTAGGGATTCAGCTCCAAAAAAGAATTTCAGTGGTCAGCACCGGAAAAATCCTGGTCCCAATATCACATTCATAATACCTTTAGGCACTACATAAACATGGGTTGAGAGAAATAATTCTTTGTTGTTTGGATGTTTCTCCATGTACATCGTACATAAGAAGTGTAATCTATTTGAGCGCCGAAATGTAACAAATTTCCATAACAATATCGACGTAATTTTAATGATGTACAAGTGCCTCTACTGTATCGCAGTATCGATCAGTCGCATGTATAGTGGGGAAATAAAAAGTATGGTCAAGGAGCTACCACAATCATACGGACGCCTCGCTAATATACGAATTGTGCGTTTAAAAGAGTCTGATGATAGTTGGGCGAATGCAGGCGACGATAACATCTTCGATCCGGTGGATTCTTGTAAAATCGAAAACCTTGAAACACTCACGTTTTATAAATCACCAGTGAGTTACATGACTAGAATTATGTTCTAATTTTTCACTATCAAAAGGTTTTACATAATTTTAATTTGAAGCAAATCGAATGAATGAGATTATGGCATTACAGGAAAAGTTAGAAGAAAAAATATTCATCGATTTTGAGTGCAAAAATGTTAAATCTGAACTGCCATCTCTATCGCCAATTGTCTGCAAAACTGAGTACCAAAGTTATCCACCTCTTGTGAAAATAAAAAACAAAGTTCGGACCAGTTATTTGATCGAAAGAGAACTAACAATTTTGATAAAAAAAGAATTTGATTATGAGAAAAAGTGTTATTTTCAAGTAAATTCCCGAAGGCAGTTTGGAGAAAACAAGGATGTGAAATCTTACATAAATTCAGTGCATGATCTTCTCAAAACCTTCGAATGTGAAATTTGTCACAAATCATTTTCATTCAAGAGCCATCTCAATACACACGTCAATACAGTACATTATCGTAGCAGAACCTTCGAGTGTGAAATTTGCCACAAATCATTTGGACAAAAATTTCATCTCGATCGACACATCAATGCAGTACACGATCGAAACAAACCCTTCGAATGTGATATTTGTCAGAAATCATTTGGAAAAAATAGTACTCTCAAATCGCACATAAATTCAGTACATATTCGTAGCAAACCCTTTTAGTCTGAGATTTGTCAAAAATGATTTGTCAAAAAAGGATAAACTCAACAGGTACGTAATAACAGTACATAATCAGAGCAAACTCTTCGAATGTGAGATTTGTCACAAATCATTTAGATACAAGTGTGATCTCAAGAAACACATTAATTCAGTACATGATCAAAGCAAACTCTTCGAATGAAAGATCTGATTTCCTTACAACACCAATCATCCAATGCGCTCCAATTAATGATGTCCAAAAAAATTTAAATATCTACTCATATTTTTTGGATGAACTTGAATTCGTTTTATTCTATTATATTTTTCGAGTAATTTCTACACTCTCAAACCCGACAGTATAGCTATATTTTCAGAGAAGGCGCGACTTTCAAATCTCTGTAATGCAAAAATGGCTATGATTAAAATAAAAATAAAATTTTTTATTGTTGTCTCCCATTTTTTCTTGATTCTTAAACCTCAATTCTGAAGATTTTTTAGAGAATAAATCAAATACGCTCATGGTCCGGAGCCGTTCACGGACTTGATCGAAACGAGGCCTCGCGAGCACGATGTTTATTTACGAAAAGAAATCGTCAAAAACATTGAGTATTCCGATATGAAAGTGCGAGACAAAAAAATTTTAAAAGCTACCCAGGACGTGCGAAACTCTTCTGCGAGACTCTCGCAACATGTCAACTTACAAGCCTCGATGCGCATTTCATCGCATCGAAATTGGCCGAAATCCATTTATATTATACGCGCTTGATAATACATAAAAATACAAAATCGTGTGGTTGTAACATACTGCAACTCTGCGCGCGGTTAGCAGATTTTATCGAATGTTGTTTTTCATTTTTTAATGCAAAAGTTATAACCGATGGCATCGGTCGTTCGAACGACGCGCTTGTTTGCTTGTACACATACGTGTGAGTGTGTGGTGGACTTTGAACCCGCGCCCAGAAAAATAAGAGGGACATGAAACGCCGCAGAGAGGCAATTTGCAAAAGGTGATCCGCGCGTGAAGATGATAATCGCTCGAGACGTTAAACGTTTCGATTGGGTTTTGGTGATGGGGTATATAAAACGCGCATCTCACTCATATATATTCATTATTATGAATAAAAGTGAATATGTGAGCAAGGCTCAAAGTGGGAGAGAACTTAAAATTAGCGAGAATAAGCGACGACGAAAGAGCTGCACGTACTCGGCACTCGGAGCTCGCTGTCATTTCTGAGAAGTCCTCCCTGCGGATAATATATACACGCGCGAAATCGCGAGATTTTTCTTTCTCGATACACCTAACGCTCGCACGAATCATCAGCACAAAGTCATACGACTAGACGTCATGACGAGTTTAACAAGAAGCAGTGGTTTCGTGGCCGGGCTGATGATTTTTGCCGTTTTAACAATCGTTGCACGCGACGTTTCGGGTAAGTGTCCTCAACAAGCGTTAAAGGGAATAATAAAACGTGCGATAGGCGATAAAAATTAATGCTGAAAATTGTGTTTGCCCCCTGCACGCAGCACGCAAGTGTGTGTGCACGAGCAAGGCCTGTCGAGAAAGTGGCGCCAAAATCTGCAGAACTCGCTACTCGTGCTACACCGAGCACATTTATTACAACAATGGGGATGTGAACGAGGAGGAGCGAGGAGTAGGAGGGCCAACCGTCAAAACGACGCGTGGTTGCACCGAGTACGTATCAAAAATCTTTTTTCCTCTCGTTCTTATTATGTGTTTCGCTTTATTTTTATCGTTAAAAAATAAAAGAAAATGAAATCGTGAGCAATCAAAGAGACAATTAGTCAACGTTTATAAATACGAAATTTAAGAAAATTGGTAAACATTATTCCGGCACCCGACGACGATATGGCATCAGCGTCATCATCATCGACCCACCGAGCGCCGGGCAGAGAGCGATAAATTACTTACCGGCGTGGCAGTCGATTCATTAGCGCATCCCAGCTTCATCGATGATTTTTATATAATAGAAGTCGCGTGTGCGTTCGCGCCGCTCGCTGATGGATTGTCGTCGATCGCTTTTAGTTATAACGGTTTTCTCGATATTCAACTCTTTATCGAGTTCGACACACACGCGTGCCGAGATAAAAAAAGACGAGAATTCGCGAGAGCGCTATATTAGCGCGTATTTTCGGCCACTGATTGTTTACATTCGGTTGGGGACATTATACAAAATTTAATTCGTTCGTAAAGAAAGAATGGGGAAAAAAACAAAAACCGCTTTCGGAGCTCGTTACGAGGCAAATTTGTTCGGCTCCCGATTATAAAGTTGTCGCAAGATTGATGTTGTTTTCTTTTAACGAAAGCGCGAAAACGTATAAATCATTCGAAATTTTCGAAGAGAACGATAAAAAAACCGTTCGAGCTTGGAATGCACACCGCCGTTCTCGAGCGACGTTAAAAAAAGTTTTTGTACTACAAGTAATATTTTGGCGATTTATGCATACAATTATTTAATCTTTTATCAATTATCAACTGCATGCGTGCGCGTTGAGGAGCCTTACTGTAAAATGTACGTTCGAAAGTTCACTCGAGACTCGCGTTGAAGAAATTAATTTTAGTTATATTTTCTCATTCTGTCTTTATTTTCTCAAAAATCTCTCAAACGTCTTACCTTGAGTAGTTATCTTTCAAGTTGGTAAAATATAAATGATAATTCACGTCGAATTTGCAACGGCTGAAGCCTGAACGTTAAGGACGTATAAGTTTGAATTAACCCTATTCCGACTAACGGCTAACGTGGCAAACGGTTACCACATTCTAAATGCACCTTATCTGTATCGTTCGAGGTATTCGAATAATTGATGATTCTTGCCGTAAAGGGATGAGGCTCATCGTATCATATCATATGAAATATCTCATGATTTATTCGAAATAGCTTCAATGCGACATAATTTCATTTTTATTTATAATCGCTATTCGTTAAATACGAAACGACAAAAAAACTCTTACTTTGCGTAGAGGAGCGAGTCCGTTGCTGTGCGAGGCGAGATCCTGGAACTCGGCCTCCAGTTTCAACGGTCATCCACGCACTACTGACGATTCGGAATCATCCTCGCTGCTCTCGGCCAAGGACAACCGCCGCCGGGCGCTCGCGGCCAGTTGGCCAAAATTGATTTGCTGCGACACTCGCGACTACTGTAACAACGACACCGACAACGAAGCCAGACACGGTCATAATTACGACACTCGGCGCGATTCACTAAATCTGCAGGAGGATGATGACGATGATAAGCGCGCGGATCCGACTGCAACTCATGGCCAAATGCAGCCGGCAAGTGGCGCCGCTCGACTTCCGAACGTCGCGAGCTCGTCCAACGCATTTAAACTCGACGATGTTCGACAACGGCTTTTCGTGGCTGCACTGATTCTGTCGATTGCTGCTCTCTTCTCCGTTTGCGCGGCTTACTACGTTGTAACGAGGTGAGAACTGTTGTAATACCTATTATATGACGATATGCTTTTGAAGTCTTGATATTGCGTAACCTCAAAATAACATAATGTTCGTGAACTATACTGCCCATGCCGGGAACTTTTGCATTTGTAAGATACTTTTTACAAAAATAGAGGTTGATTGCGTGCGAAGATTGAATCAACACACGACTTATTCTGTTGATTCGAATTTTAGTATAGTCAGTGTATTATATGTGTTCACAATGAATTTCTTGCTTCGAAGTTTCACACGAAGTGTATACGAGTGACCTCTTAGCTTCGATTTCGTGATGAAGAAACGATGTTTTATATTTTACCAAATTACTCGTATTGGAATCTCCCTTATAGATTCGCGTTCTCTCTCTCTCTCTCTCACTTTTTCTCTGCCTTGAAAAAACGTTATCCCGAGACGAGCAAGTATTCGAATTGCGTTTTTTTTTTCAAATTCTGAATTTATGAAAACTAAACAAAAGTAAAATATTAATTGTGTCAAGGTATACTTCGTGCTGCATTTTAACAGCATCAGTGCGGCTTTTGAATATTTCCGTTATAATATATACAAACACGCTTACACACACATACCCACAATTCTGAAACCGGTTTCGAAAATTATAAATTTATTCCAACGAATTATCAAACGAATTCCTCCACCTCCATATCTTTCTCAAATTAACTTTTCTTTTTTCCCCATTTATTTACACTTTTTTGCGAGAAATAATCAAACATCAACTTTCTCGATACCACCGAGTTTTTAAATGTGTCTACGCACGAAGGATACCGGACGATAAATTTTGATTACGATTGTCTTTTTCATTTTAAAAAACAACGACGTCGACGAAGACGACGACGCATGTCAAAAAGCAGCGCAACGCGCGGCGGTTAATTAACGCTCGTTTTTGCGCACATTGCGTAAAGTGCGTTATGATTGCACGCACACACGGACACATGTTAATACCATTTGCACGAGCTGTAAGAAGCGCCGGGGCGCACATGCGGAATCTTCCCTCTCCCCCTCGTGGCAACTTCTTTTTTTTTTCGTCGTTGTCTCTAATTAGCGCCGTAGCCCGACGACTCGCGCGCGCGTCTCTCATCTTTTTACGTCCGTGCCGAAACTCAATGAAGTCCTACTTTAATTACACTTGAATGAGGCCCCTGGCCGCGTACAGTCAGGAAGGGGTTGTTGGAATTTCGCAGAGGCCCTTCTCCCTCTCCGTGGCTCGTCGAGACTATACATAACGTCGTTTAGCGCGCGGGTTAACAATTTGCTTTTTGTACTCGCGGTGCACTGGCACAGCTCCGATCGTCGCGAGTGGCATAATAAATATCCGAGATGAATTCGTTCGTATGGATGCCGCGCGCCATACGGATGCAACAACGTGCGCACTTCGTGCCGCGCGTGCTATTACGCATACTTATATATACAACTTTTGTCAATGGGCCGACAGATGCATGCGCCGAGAATCCGAGAGCCGAGATCCGTATAATACCTACACCACGAGTACTCAACTGCGAGGCAAGCACGTGTATATCGCGTCATAGGATTTATGGCAAGCAAATGCTCCTCTTCTTCTTCTTACTGTATACCTTCTGTTTCTTGTTCATAAAATAATCTGAATTTTTGACGTTGAATCACGTTGCGAAAGTAAGACCTTTCACAGAGTCATAGCTGAGGATTTTTCCCGACTGTATGGCAATTATTAGGCTTGGATTGAATAAAATATACGTTATACATTTTTTTACATTTTTCGATTTTTTAAATTATTTATTTTCTTTACTTTTTCTGAAAAAGGAGGACAACGGGACTCGCGGTCGGCTAACGGTTAACAATGTCGTTACGAAAAGTTCCTGATAAAATATTCTGATGTAAACCAACTTTTGCATTCAAATTTGGAGCCATTGGTGTTTATGAACATGAAAAAATGCTGGGGTTTATTACAAGTTGAGAATCTTCGTGAATATACAACATGTCGTGGAGCGTACGAGCGAAAAAGAAGGAGAGATACAAATTTCTGGCTTGTGAATTTGCGTCAAAACACACTTCTGTTGATGATCAAAAAATTCGTGCAAAAATTATTTTCTCTTATAGAAGAACTTTATTTTATTAGTTACAGTTTATTGATATTGGCGATGAGTATACATATTGTTGCATGAAATTTTAAATAACATTATGCGGGGTGAGATAATGTTATTTAAAATGAGATGGCATTTTTCTAATAACACTTTTATTTTTTTTAAATGGATTCACTTAATAGAATAAATAGTTTTGAAGCAATGAAATAGCGATACAGAAAGTTGCAAAATTACATACAATTAGATCCAAGAACTTACAGAAAACGCTCTGAAACGTGATTAGCATTATAAAATTGCCATCAACTTGAGAGGTTCAATATTTTATATACAGTTCAGAAGATGCTTAATTTTCCTCCAAAATTTTGTTAAATTTTTTGAAACTTGAGGATTGTATTCATTTAATAAAATACGATTGCAAAAACTCGTAATATTATTGGACATGAGCATTTTTAAATTAGTCTTCCGAACTTGTGTACTTGAAATTTTATATAATCATCAAGTTGTAATGTGTGATTGATGCACCGTACTGATGTGGATATTTCAAATTATATTTTCTTGAAAATGATTTTTCGTATTTATCTCAAGTATGTTTGGTACCATTATGCACCGAATTAATGTGCCTTGCGAGATTATATTTTTGAGTGAATGACTTTCAGCAAATATCGCATGCATATTTGATATCCTTGTGCACCGCATCAATGTGTTTTTTGAGATTAATTTTTCTTCCAAACTTTTTTCCGCATATATCACATTCGCATGTAACACCATTGTGCACCTCATCAATGTGGATTTTAAGATAACCCTTGCTTGAGAACTTTTTTCCGCATATATCACATTCGCGTGTAACGCCATTATGTACCGTATCAATGTGGATTTTGAGATAACCTTTGTTTGAGAACTTTTTTCCGCATATATCACATACGCGTGTAACACAATTATGTACCGTATCAATGTGGATTTTGAGATGACCTTTCATTGAGTATTTCTTACCGCAAATATCACATGCATGTGTGATACCATTATGCACCGAATCGACGTGTTTTTTGAGATTAATTTTTCTTCCAAACTTTTTTCCGCATATATCACATTCGCGTGCAACACCATTGTGCACCTCATCAATGTGGATTTTAAGATAACCCTTGCTTGAGAACTTTTTTCCGCATATATCACAATCGCGTGTAACACCATTATGTACCGAATCAACGTGGGATCTGAGATTACATTTCAATGAAAATGTCTTGGCGCATACATCACATGAGTGAGTGACGCCATTATGTACCGTATTAATGTGAATTTTGAGATAACCTTTCATAGAGTATTCCTTACCGCAAATATCACATGCATGTGTGATACCATTATGCACCGAATCAACGTGGGCTTTGAGATTTCTCTTGCTTGTCAATTTCTTTCCGCAATTGTCACATGCATGTGTGATACCATTATGCACCGAATCCATGTGAAATTTGAGATAACTTTTTAATGAAAACGTCTTGCCACAAATATCACATGAGTGAGTAATAAAATGATGCGGTGTTTTAACATGCCTATTTAGATTACACTTTTTTGAATATTTCTTTCCACATATTTCACATACGTGGGTTGTATCGATGTTGTTTTTCAGGTTGTGTTCGTTGTTACACTTTTTTTGAATTTCTCTTGTTTTATTGTTTTCGACGAGTGCACAGTCGAAATTGAAGTTCAATTGCTCTACAACGTCGTCAACAATTTCTCGTTTTACTTCCCCCGTGGCTTCTATGTTAATTTCGTTTTTAAATTCATGCTCGTTGCTATACTTCATCTCTTGTAAGTGATTTGCAGAATAATCATCAATTTTTTTAACTTCTAATAAATTCATATTGGACTTAACGTCTTCACATTCAAAAACTATTTCCATATCGTCATTGAGTTTATTTTCATGATTTTGGAACTGTTGAAAATTGAAAACTAAATGAGAATTTAAATGAAAAACAACCGAAGTATATATCAGTTATTATAAATTATCAGCACTTACTGAATTTTCTCGCTGAAATGGTAAGAGTTGGATGTTTTTGAAATCGGGTTTCTTGTCAATCGTTTCACAATCCTTTCCAATAAACGAAATATCAGTAGGTTCCTGTTTTACTCTGAAATAACCTCAATCAGATCAAGTATATTGTTGCAATATTTTTATAATTTTATTCTCATAAAATGAAGAAAATACCTGATGACACCATTTAGTACATTACTGGATTCCATCTTTCTTTTTTGGAATTTCACTAACAATTATAACCTCTCTTGGATGATCAAACTATCTACACGGGCTGACTGACAAAGAACATAGAGAGCTGTGCTTGTTCTGTTGTTTACGTCGTGCGTAGCATGCATGACCTCCGCGTCTCTCTCGGCACAGTGTTTTGCCATGATACGCTACACTGAGAGCTGTGCGAAACTGGTCGCGCACAAACTTAGGCTTTTTGCGTAGACACCAATTTCAAAATATAGCGATCAAATCCCATCGTTCTTCGTCAGCCTTTCCGTGTACTGTAGTTTAAAATTAATTTAAATATTTTAAAATCGTTTGGTAAAATTTCGAAATTATCAATCAAGTTATCAAGTTTTAAAAATTTATATTTTGTTTAATAATCCCACCGAAAAAGAGCTAGTACTTTTATATTCTCTATAATTACGAATAACTTTTTTTTCTTACATTTCACCGTTTTTTTTTTTTTTTTTTTTTTTTTTTAATTAATAATCTTCATGATAAAATTGAGAATCATTTAATTGGAAAATATTCAATTAAAATGCATTGTTTTTTATGTATACCAAAAAAATGAAAGACCACCTTTGGCGCACGCGACTCATCCGGAAAATAAAAGTACATGTGCGTTTCGCGCGACGCGTATCAACGGGGCGGCCAGTCGTCTGGGCACCGCAACAGTCTCGACTTTGTCGCGACTGCAACGAAAACAGTTTACATATAATATATATGTTCGTGCTTTATGTAGTCGCAAGCGCCGATATCTCAATCTCCCTTGTATTTTCTGAAAAATAATTTATTTAATCTCACCAAATGAAGTTAAGGAATAACTTAACTACTATAATAATTTTGCTTGATCAATCCATGCTTATTTTTACTGTTGTTGATTTTCGAGCTTGCTTTCCATTTCTATAATTTTATGATTCTTGTTTAGTTCTTGATCGTTCTTGATTTTTCGATCGTAGCAATTCACTTCATATAATTCTCATCAAAAATAAATAATCAAGTTTTTATAATTATGTGCTGTCATCAATTTAAAACGATGTGAACCTATATTCAAACAGGAACTACTCACTAATTCCTGTAGAATAGCGTCCAAAGCTAGCCCAGCTACTCGAAGGAAAAATCTAATTTCTAATTATAATCCGTTCATGAAAAGATTTAAAAGTAAAGAAGCAAAATAAACAATGACTTAGAGGAACTCTAATTTCGGTGCCCATCTGGAATATCTTTGTTTTTATAATGATCGTTCCGACTGCAAAATGCGTGAGAGACAAGGCTTCTATTTGTCCGAGTAATCATTTTCCATTTGTCGATTTAGCCTCGGCATTAGCAAATACAACCAATTTTAACGATCTAATTAGATAATTGTACCTTAGTGTTATTCGTAATTATGTTTAATTTACCACTGAAAAGACAATTTTTATCCTTCGGAAAAAAAATTTAAAAAATGATTTTTTTCCATCCTTCCGGCAAAAGTATTTACTTTCGCCGTACGCGTAGCCTAGAAAAAGAAGTACTTTTGCCCACTTCTGCGTGTCCGACAGATGCAGTGGTTGCTGTGGCCAGCTCAGCCTAGCAACGTAATATTTATAATTTTATCGCCCGTATTACTTAGCCTACAACTTGTCGAAGACACATCAATACGTACAGGCGTTATACTAATTACGTGGTAAAAATTATGCAAAGTCCTGAAATATCATTCGCGCATGATGGTATGTCTACGGACGAGAAAGAATGTTGTGTGTAACTTGTTGCACACAAATCAAAATGAAAAAATGTTTTTTATATTAATGTTATTGATGCTCGCCCCCCCCGACCAGCATCACTCGCTTCGCTCGTGATGCTAATGTCGGGGCGAGCATCAAAATTCGAAGCTTAATTACAGAGTCATATGTTAAAGTTTAGTATGACTTGTTAGGCTCACAATGCTAAAAGTAAAGGAAAAAAATTCGCAGCACATATAACTGATTTCATGTAAAAGTCAATAATAACCATAACCGCTTTGTTTTTTGCACAATCAGACGGCAAATCAAGACCTCGATGCGAAAGAAAAAACAAATGCAAGTCTTTATATGCATTGAGATCTTGAATTCAATTTATATTTTGAATTTATTAGGATAATTTTATGAAAACTTTTGCGCGGGGATGGAAAAAAATACTATTTCTTACACGGGTGAAAAATGAAACACCCTCATACACGTGATATGACGCCTCGGCTTCGCCTCGGCGCCATATCACGTGCATGCGGAAGTTTCATTTCTCCCCCTTGTAAGAAAATCTACTAGTTCAATAATGTTGCACGAAGAAAAAGCTGTCGCGACGTTATCACTCGCGGCGCGAAAAATAAGAGAATCGCAGAGAGCCGAAGAGCTTCTCTAATCTTTCCGGGAATGTCGGAGCATGTTCAATGCGTGCCGTATTTAAATATGTACCGCGTCGCCAAAGCCATCGCGCTGATACAGGTATATACACCCTTTCTACGTGTGCACTGCGAAGGTGCGAGAGAGGTCCAGTAAATTAGGGCCCTGAAATAAAGGAGAAAGAGCCCGAGATTTGCTTTAAGTGCGTCTCGATCCGCGCGTAGCGCACTCGAGATAAGACCCCGTATCCTTCCTTTCATTTTTGTCTCGATTTTCATGGCCTTTTTGTATTATGCCTCGATGTCGTCCGTGCACACTCGAGATGACTGTGCATCGCGCTGCTGTGGTCCTTCGCGCGCACAATTACAACAGACATAATCGCATTTTTAATTGCAAAACCACTCCAGGTTATACTGATCTGAAGTGATTGCAGTTTGGTTTTATAAATATTTTCAAATTAATGTTATTTTTGAAATATTGATATAATTTGTGAGATCTATAAAACACGAATGAGAGAAATGATGGTATTTTATACAGTTTTATACGTCAAATGAAACGAGTTATTCGTTATATCGTAATTATCGTTGTTTCGTGTTTTTTCCTATCACACATAACGATGTGTTACAGATTCTTGAGAGCCAGAGGCGACCGTAGCAGCGAAGCCGGCAAATGTCTGTGCAGGATACTCGGGCCTCAAGGCGACAACCGGATGGACTTTTGAGCCGCCCGATGGATAGAGCGAAATTTTCTCTCTCTACCGCTTCCCTCTTTCTACACATCGTTTGCACCAGGTAAGTGAAACGATGTTATTGCCGCATTTTTCTCAGACACTTGGACACGCGTATAATTAAACGCGGATAAACGAGCAGCATCTGTGTATTGTATGTTGCATAGAGTTTTTGCTGGTGTTTATCTTGTGTACATTTTTTCCACCGTATAATATTATGCAGACAAGCAAGAGATTTTACTTGATCGCGCGACGAGCGAGATGATTTCTCAATGAATCATTTTAGATGAAGTTGTTTGACAAAAGTTGAGTGGATAGCGGCGGCCTTTACGCGTTGATTAATGACAAGCAATTGGAAAATGAGAATCAGACTCTGAGAGAAGTCATTGCGTGATGGATATAGTAAGGAACTTGGGTTACTTTTTTATCGTTGATCTACTGTCTAATTTTTAAGCTCGCTTTTTCTTCAATCAAGACAATAGCGCATTGTTTTGCCATCCGAATGAAATCACAAATCCCCGTACGAAATTAATCACAGGTCAACAGCCAATATAATTTTTAAACTATATAATACAATTTATAATCGTGACATTGTCAAGACGATCGAGACAACATTAGAAATCTGCGTGACGCGATCGTTTGCGCTTGCATTGTATAAGCGTAAAAGCTCGCACGAGCTTACATATACACGCCGTAGTTTGCGGATGTTTGGCGCTCGTTGGGTATATATCGTGTCCATCGGTCCGAGAGAGCGCCAAACGGTCGCGACGTTCTTTCGTCGCCGGTGGCATCGCCGTCGTCGTCGTCGTCGTCGACGGCCTGACGGTCGCCGCCGCAGCGACTGTGTTTGCCTATACACGCGCGCAACGTTATATCCCCCATGCCCCGTGACGCGCGCGCCACGATGACGACGCGCCACTGGCTGGTGGTGTTTCCTCCTCTACGCGGTGGCGTCGTAGTCGTAGTCGTCGCCGCGTCGCAGTCGCCACGCCGTCGTCGGGGTATAGCTTGCTTTTCTCGACGCGCCACCCAAAGACGCCCTCGAGTCTATATAACCCCCCTGCGCGAGTGTGTATCTGTATGTATGCGCACCCCCGCTCGCGTGTGTATAAGGCTACCGAAACATTGCTAAAAACTCCGCGACTCGACGCCGCGACTACGACGACGACGACGACTGCCGAGATGATAAATACTTATAAAGAAGCCATGGGAAAGAGTCTCGACGCGTGCCAATTTTCTATTTGGGACCGGTATTGCGACATCGCTTTAGTGCGCCCGCGTGCAGCGCGACGCAACACTGCAGCCACGACGTCGACAGCGACGACGACGGCGACGACTAGTTGGCTCCTGGCCTCTTTCTCCTTCTTTTTTCCTTCCGATTAGGATATATCGATCAGCCAAGCGTACTTTACTACTGCTACGCGTAACGAACGTTCGAAATCGAAACGTATGTTCCACTGCGTACGATGCAAATTAATATTATCACTGATTAAATCAAGCTGCAACTCGTTTTCATAACAGGCACTGCTATATAGCTGCAGCAGCGGTGGCTTGTCAAGCGACCAATTAACTTCTTTCAGCAGGACGACGCTCATGAGTATAACACATCGCAAACGTGTATGTATAGGAATTTGTTTTGCATTTTGCAGTACTCGCTGGATACTATTTTTCGCGATGGCTCGCGTTTAATAATAATCGATCGACTATACCATCGAACGCGTCGAGGCAAATCGAGCGCGCGAACGAAACGAGACAAAAAAGAGAAAAGACGCGACCAAAAATAAAATAATAAAACAATGAGCAATGGGGAATCACAGACTCGCGAGCGCAGCTTATCTCTAGAATTTATTCGTATGTGTATCCGTATGGAAATGAGTAACCCAGACAAGTTGTTCAATAGATACATATATCGTCGTTGCAAATATTGCATTAGATCGCGGCCCGTATATAGGCAGACACGCATTGGTCGCGCGCGCGAGTGGCGCCAAGTGCAATA